ATCGGGGAGCACGGGGTTTAATCAAAAGGTAAAGACAAGCAGGACAATGGAACAGGCAGCAAACTCAAAATGACGTTAATGACCGGACTCGGGAAACATTCTAAAATGCAGACTTAAATACACATGTCTAATGACAGCAGCTGGAAACAGCTGATCACACGGGGATTCCACATGAGGTAGATGAAGGGGCGTGGCATACGGGAGGATCGGACGAGCAGGTTCAGCTTCAAAGGGAATAAACTTTGCGAATGGGATTCGCATCTTGTAAAGGTACAGTACAGTATGTACATAAAAAGAAACACATATATGCAAAAAAAAAAATTGCGGATGCAAATAAGTTAAGTTCCAATTAAATTTTCGCGGATCTGTGAATTCGCGAATCACAAAGGGCGAATGCACGATGGCTTACTGTATAGATATGTGACTGTTAAAACCATCACAAACATGTTTATCAATCACTGAAAGGTATCGCTATTTTTTTCTTTTTTTCAGATATTCAACTTCTGAAGAGATATAGTAAAGACATACATCTACAACAAGTTTTTTATACATTCCACAACCGTTCTTGGGCATAATGTACACTTCTTCCTGTTTCGGGTGGTCCTTTGGGGCGCTTTCAATAGACCCTTTTGGGGGATGTTTGTGTTTTCGCAGCCTGAAACATGGTTTGCGAACCAGTACAAAAAATTTTCGAACATCTGGTTCGTACACCGATTTGTTCGTGAACAGGACTGTTCCTGGGTTGAGGTACTACTGTACAATACTAGTCAAAAGTTTGGACACACCTGCCCATATAAAGGTTACTTTGAACATTTCTCTGCATTTTAGAATGCTTATAAAGATAGATATATGGACTGACCAAAATATTTTCTTTTTTTTTTGGGGGGGGTAGCTATGTGGGTTGGGACTCAGAAGGTTCCTGGTTCAAATCTCTCGGTCAGCAGAGTGATCCCACCATTGGGCCCTTGAGCAAGGCCCTTAACCCCAACTGCTCCAGGGACCAGCTGACCCCACTCTCTCCTCTACACCAGTCTCATGAGGCGACCTTCTGGGATGCTTTTCCAGCTGTCCTGAGGGAGTCCTCACATATGTTGTGCACTAATTGGCTGCTTTTCCTTCACTCTCTGGTCAGGCTCCTCCAAAATCATTTCTACTGTTCAGGTGGCCAAATCATGTGATGCAACGCTCTATCTCTCTCCTTTGTAGGTGGCTTGGCGAGTCCAAAGTTTTCACTGGTACTGTATGTGTGTGTATGTACATATATAATTTAATCAAGTTATTTTATCAGTAATGCTCCCTAATTGCAGTATAATTCATTAGGCAGAGTAACATCAGCAGTCAGAAGAAGAAATTTGCAAACATTATTTATGTTGCAGTCAAAATACGAATCCATGACATCAACTGGATGCAAATAGAAAAGAAAAATAACTAGAGCCAAGCAGTCATATGTTTACTTTTAAACAAAACTGTACCTAATATAGTTTTTATAGTACATTATAAGAGAGAACAGCTTTCGAACATGTCTTCAAAATATGTATATCACAGTAATATAGAAAGGAAGTATACTTTTGTTTGGCATGCGCTTGTAATGATTATCTACAAAATGATTTGTAATACTGGATTATTTTATTCTTAATCCCCAAACCTAACTCAAAAATAAATAACATACATCTTTTGAAAAATCACCAAGAGGAAAGGAAGTTTATAAAGAAAAGCTATAAAAGCAAGATAAGTGCCAACTAAGTGAGGTCATGCATTCAAAAACATAATGCGGTCAGGCTGACTGGCAAACTGTAAGCACACATTCCTCGGCTGCACGTGCTGATCCAGATTCTCCCTTGGAGCTCGGCTCACGGGGCCAGCAGCCGCGTCGCTTGCTTCAGGACCAGAGGAAGAAGGCAGGATGTTTAAAGCAAAAATAGGAAAAAGCTGAACCGTCTGGGTATGTAGGTAACCCTTAAACTCAGTAGCTTTCAAAAGTTACACTAGATAATTAACTGTTAGATGTTAATAAGATTATTGCTCCACTTAGCACGGGTGTGTTATGCACGGCACCAGAAATATGAAAATCATGCTGACCTAACTGTAGAATCATCAGGACAGTCATAACAAACGATGTCCCTGAATTCACAAAATCCACATACATTTCCATGAGCCTAAATCCCATTGTATTTTGGCTTATTTTACTTTAGAAGGACAGGTAAGTCAACAGCTGTTTTTGAAAGAAATGATTCTGAATACACACTGGCATCCCTGTGACTTGTTCCCTAAACTGCCAGGAAGTATAGTAGGTGCTGTACTGCAGACTGGCTGCTTCTTCTCCAGTGACTCACCAGCAGGGCCTCTTGATTGTCTGCCAGCGCCTGCTTGGCCAGGTAACGCTCCCGCTTCACTTGCAGTTCCAGCGATTCTGGCACATCTGGGACCATCCAATCAATGGCACGCAAGATGAAGAATACCACGTGCTGGTCAACAGGAGAAAGAACCATAAATGTCAGCATGATGCAGACTGAACCTAAGCAGGAGCTTCAGAAAAGGCCTGTTACTGCAGAAATAGCCCAAAATGGCCCAATAAAGGAAAGAATTTTGCATGAATTTTCTACCTCAAAAGCAATAATAAAACCAAGTCTAATGGCAAGAAGTTCCCAGTAGAAGAATGTGTAACTGCCATTGTTGTCTCGAAAGGCTTTATATCTGGGGGAAACACAATAAAATGCATTAAGCAAATCAGCAACTATCTATCTAATATGCTGAATGAACTTTATCGCTACATTTCATAAGTCTTTGCTTAATCTGTACAATTAGAATATTACAATTTGTTTAGCTTGTCTTCAGCAGCTCACATCAGCTTGGTGTTCTCAGTAGAGGTACCTGCATATGGTGGCATTGAAGAGGTTGTCTGAAGAGATGTGATTAGAGGAACTATTGTTTAGAGGTGAATAGGCGAGGGTGAAGTTGACATAACCCATCAGATTGTTGTCAAACTTGTATTTGTACAGAAGCCGGGGGAGGAAGTCAGAGGTGAAGGCAATCAAGAAAGCCTAGAAGATAATCCAACAAAAATTCTCTTTGAGATATAGTTCCTTTTGCACACTCCACATAACAAATACATAAACAAAGACAGACACACACACACACAATAGCATCATGTTAGATAGCAGCATACATATATGTATTCAAAGTTACATATTTATATGTATTATACACACACACACGCACGTATACATGTGTATATATACATATATACACAGATGTGAAAACGTAAGTACATTCCATGGAAATTGTTGCAACAAAGGAGATATCTGATTTTTGTTTAAACAGTGCCTATACATACACACATACATACATAGGCATCTAGCATCTGACACAGGGAAAACATTACATCTGATTTCCAGTGAGTACCATATTAAAAGAATAATATGCAATCATATTAAATATTAGGTATTAAATCACTTTAACGTGTGAATTTGTGAATGGGACCGGGGCTCATGCTTATGGTGGGTTACCCTGCTTCATGCCCTCCGAGGATGTCGTACCCATGGGCACATGCCCAAGAGCCCATATGGCTATTCTGGGCAAGCCTTTGGTTACAATCCGTCGGAGGTAGACTCACATTGATAATGACAGCCAGGTGGGAAAGGGCTTCCAGTATATTAAACCAGACTCCTATATTCTGGGCACGCTCAGCCACAGGACGCCGGTACTCGCATACAAACTTGTGGGCATCCAGACGGATCTCTACCCAGTTGTTAAGCAAAGCGAATAGCGGAGCCAGTGGGAAGGCTGCCACAAAGATGGTGATGAAGCCAAACTGGAGGACTGCCAAAAAAGCAGATCAGAATATTCAACCTTCCAACTCTGTAAGCAAATCCTGACCACACAATTAGTAGGAATCCAGCCCTATTTCATCCGGAAGTATGTCCGACCAGTATAAATTAGAAGATATACAGTTAGGTCCATAAGTATTTGGATGGTCAGAGGTGGACATTTCAGGTCCAGAAAGTAAAAATCCAAACCAGGATTTTGTTTCAACCAACCAGCTGAGTACTATATGGCTGTGAATCTTTATACTCAGCAGGTTGGTTGAAACAAAATCCTGGTCTGGATTTTTACTTTCCGGACCTGAAATGTCCACCTCTGTAGATGGTCACACAATTTTTCAGAATATTGGCTGTGTGCACCACCACAATGGATTTGAAATGAAGCAATCAAGACGTGATTGAAGTATGATCTTTCAGCTTAAATTCAAGGGCTTTAATAAAAATATCATATGAGCCATTTAGGAATTACTGCGATTTACGTACATAGTCTCCCCATTGAAAGACAACAGTTACAGATTCCAAGCGAAAATGCTACACTTAGAATCAAGTCTAGGCCTTTTATCAGCTCAGTTATGCATGAAGTGATGTTGCAATAATGCACACCTAGCCAAGGTAAAGAATAAAAAAAATACTTAAAATGGGGGTCTATGTATAAAAATGACTATAACTTCTTTGCATTTTAGCCAATGTAGCGGTCTATAGCTTTAAATTAAAGCTGACCATCTACCTTTTAAACTCATTTTGAATGTTTCATGTCTAATCTGTTGTCATAGCAAACAGATGTTGTACATAAAAAATGTATCACTGTCCAAATACTTATATACATGACTGTAAATGTGAAGAAACAATGAGACCATCTAGAAATATTATCTTGCCTTAGATATTATAAAATGTATGCTTAAAATCAGTTATCTCCTTAAATGTCATTAGCTTACCCATCTCCAGGTATTCATCAAAGAGACCCTCGCACTCTATGAGTGTGTAGTCCTTCTCCCAGCGATGGCGTTCCCGGGGTACCTGTGTGCCCCTGGTCCCAGATAGCTGTTGCCGTTGTCGCCATGCCTTTATCTTCCTTGTGTGGAGAAAATGGAGCAAATTGCACATTTACATAAATAACATCATTAATAAAACACTACTCTGCTTTTACAAGCTAATGAAACATGGTACTGATTTCTTTGCCATGTTTATCAAATGAAAGTTAATGATTGCAGAACAATGCATGTGGCCTCTACACAATTAAGTCACTTGTGCACAGTAGAACAAAATTTCTTAAAAATTGCAAATCAATCAAGTGTCCTCATTTGGCATAACTATCAGTTGCTTAAGTCTTGTTGATCAAAATCAGTCTTGTGGTTTCCCGCAGAAATAATTTTACATCCAAATCTAGGTATGTAAGTAACTATTGTGGAAGCCACGACATGCAAAATAGTTCAGCAAACTTTCATAATTAGCCAAGAATATCTTCCATCAATTGCAGTGAGAGTATGTTGCCATTTTGTTGTATCTGCATTACCATGATGCTGTTGCTATACAGTACTGTGTGACTTCTCTTTTTGTTTGGCACTACATAGGGAAGTAACGATACCAAAAATTTGAACGATAATATTGCGATAAAAGGTTCACGATACAATGATTATCACGATATTAAAAAGATAAAAAACTCTTAATAATCAACATGTTTATTTATATCAAATTACTTCTTCCTTTTAACATAAAGTGCTTCTGCTTTTCATTATTAGTGAAATATCCAGCTATGATCTTAAGCCTTTGCCAGAACTTAACAGTAATTGTCCTTTGCAATGAAAGACTGAACAATGCATGTAATTATAAAACAAAAACAAGCAGTCAGTAGTTCCTTTATAATATATTAATTATTACTGCAGCAGCTGGATCTTTTAATCAAAACACAATCTGCAATTCCGAAGTAGTGTTTTCTGCCATTTTTCTGCCGGGTCTGTTTTTACTGGGTGAAATATAGGCCACGTCCATACATACTAACACGCTAAAAAAAAGCGTGAAAACAATTCTGCAAAAAAACAACCCGCGCTCTCCATGTTACTTCGTGACATCACCTCACAATCTGCATACAATCGTCTTTTTTCTTATAGAGATAAATTATCGGAGTCCCTCTGGTGACATAGGAAAAAAAAAATATATTGCGTGAATTATAATGCGTGGCCACGAGATAATTAAGTGGTGGCCGCGAGACAATAATGTGTGGCCCCGAGATTTCCGAATGCCTGGAAACACATGGACAACTTCGAGAGTGGATAAAAGTAAGTATAATTTTATAAAGAAATTATAATTTTTTAATTGATAACATAATTGTGAGAAGACACATGTTAACTTCCTAAAGGCGTTATTGACAATTAAGTGCATTAGAGCGGTGTACAACATCCCAGGAAATCTAAGTCGTTCCCACGGTTTTAGAAAGACGTGGCCACCACTTAATTATCTCATGGCCATGCGTTATAATTCGTGGCCACGCAATATATATTTTTTTACTCCTATGTCACCAGAGGGGCTCCGTAGTACTAATATACTGTAAATGTGTTTTTGTTTCTATTTGGCCAATTTATAAATTATTGTTCAAATAGTTGTTTTGTAATGGATTTACTGACCTATTGTCATGTGGGTTACACACGGCCATTAGAGCACAAAGCATTCATTAATGTAGTATGTATTTTTTGAGACAGAGCTTATACGACCAAAATAGCTATGTGATATCGTGGTTGATATCGTAACAGTCCGACAACGGTGTCAATATATTTTTTTATCACGATACTACGTTTATCGTTACATCCCTAGTACTGTATAGTGTTATGAGACCATTTCAGTAAAGAAGTTGCATGTGCATGAGTACTTTCTCTTGCCGTATTGTAATGTAAAGACCTGTAATGTTGAAAAGAGTGTCTTTGATATGAATAAAAATTAGTTTGCTGAAGAAAGATTGAAAAGTGCGATATGATTGCCATTGAGAATTGTGCAGGAGTATATTATTGAACATTTTCAGGACTCAGTTTGAATGTCATATTATATAGAGGAGAATGTTAAGTTTGTCCCAAGAAAGCCATCTGTACAACAAAGGTTAATGTTGACTAGGAAGAAGATTGCAGGTAACAAAGCAACAGGTGCCACAAAATTAGAAAGACCAGCATACGGGATGAGGAATTCCTGGATATTGCTGATGACTTGTTTCCCCACCATTATGATAAAGAGCTGCTGGGCCAGTTCAATCAGGCAACCACCAGGTCCACACTGAAATACACAAACAGAAACAGGCATATTGTATTTGACCTGATGGATGGATGGATGAATAGATGGATGGATGGATGGAGCTAAACTAATTCAAAGATTGACTTCTTCTTCGTGTCCATCTCCATGGCCTCCCCAAACATCAGATCGAATCGGTGTGAAATAAATTTCGAACTGCTCCAACCTTCAAACATCAGGGGAGTTTTTATGTTGAAGAATGACCCGATATCCCCAAACATACAATGTAGGAAATATGTACAACCATATCATTAAAACTACTGGCAGGTGAAGTGAATAACGTTATCTCACTACAGTGGCACCTATCAAGGGTGCCATTATATATTAGGCAACAGTCAGTTCTTGAAGTTGATGCGTTGGGAGCAGGAAAAATGGGCAAGCATAAAGGTTCTTTCATGCTCAACATTATACGCATACGGACGGAACCTTCTGTCTGTATACTGAATTGATTTCATCAGTATTTGTGCAAGTTATCTTAAAACAAGGATATGGACTAAATGGAACAGTACCACTGGAAATCGTGGGGGCAATATAGCCAACAGTTCAAGCAAGACATGATATTTAAAAAATGTTACTTTGGCAAGGCCCAGAGACAAAGAATTATCACAGCTGGTAGGAGACTGGACAGGAATTAAATATCATTTGGACAGCAGCAAAGGAAAAGTGGAGGTCTATGTGAGACCAATGTGTTTGAGCCCAAAACAAGCACATTTAACAAGTGCAGTACATTAACAAGTACATTATTACAACCACCTCTGCCATCACGATGTTTGCATTTGACTTCAATTTCAATTCAATTCAATTTAATTTTATATAGCGCCTTTCACAACAGAGTTGACCCAAAGCTCTTTACATGGATGTGTTGTGATTAATAAAACATCATTAGAGAGAAATACAGAACTCCTGTCCTGTAGCGGATGTTATTTAATATCCATGCAAATCTAAAGGATACACAGAAGGATGTGGGCAGTAACGATCATATCATTTGAAATATTTATTTTCATACATAAAAGGAGCATAATTGAGCCTGAAGGATCTGAATGACTTTACTGGCATTGACACCTCTTTGGTCCTCATCTCGACATTTTCATTAGCTAGGAAACTGGGTCAAGGCATCTACAAAACAGCAGGTCTTGTGGTGTGTTCCCAGTATGCAGTGGACAGATCTTGCCAAAAGGCCAACTGGTGAACTGGCGATGGGGTCATGGGTGCAGAAGGCTCATTGTTATGTGTAGGGAGTGAAGGGTAGCCAGTCAAGCCCCATCCCACAGGGGAGCTACTGTACCAAAAATTACTGAAAAAGTTAATGCTGGCTACGAAAGAAAGGTGTCAGAACAAACAGTGCATCACAACTTGTTGTGTATGGGGCTGCGTACCTGCAGATCATTCAGAGCATCCATGCTGACCCCTGTCCTACAATGCCTACAATGGGCATGTGAGTGTCGGAATTGGGCCACACCGCCGGGTCTGATGAGTGACATTTCCTGTTACATTAGTTGGATGGCAGGGTGCACTATGGGAAGAAGGCAAGCCAGTGGAGGCAGTGTGATGCTTTGGGTAAAGTTCTTCAGGGAAACCATGGGTCCTGGCATTCGTATGCAGGTTACTTTAGTTACCAAGTATACTCCTTCATGGCAAGAGTATTCACTGATGGCAATGGCCTCATTCAGCAGCATGATGCACCCAGCCACACTACAAAGATTGTTCAGGATTGGATTGAGGAACATGAAAAAGAAGTCGAGGTCTGTCACTACAAAAATTGTTCAGGAATGGTTTGAGGAACATATTGTTAGGGGAAATTACAGAACTTAAAGAATCTGCTGCCAATGTGTTGGTGCCCAATACCACAGGATACCTACAAAGGTCTTGTTGAGTCCATTCCTCGATGGGTCAGAACTGTTTTGGTGTCCCGAGGGGGGCCTACACAATATTAGGCAGGTGGTTTTAATGTTATGGCTGTTTGGTATACAGGCACATAGATACACAATAGGGGTGTAAAGAAACATCGATGCATCATGATGAATTGATTATTAAGGTGGTGATTCAATGCACTGATCTGTAACATCATGGTTGATTTTTGTGGGTAAAATAAAGGTATACCTACATTTGGGTTGTGTGCTTTCATGTTCACATTTTGCAGGTAGATGCAAAAACAGTGCCAGCATGCAAATTTTCAAAACTTAGAACGGCAGGGGAAGGCTTATTAAGATTCATTAAGGAGGCCCTACTAGATAATCTTTGTGCTGTGCTTTCAGGAAACTCGCCCATTTTTAGTGCAGACCGCGAAATGGCTCTGTTTTGTAGCACAAAAGTCATTATTTTTGCAAGCGGTGGTGATTAATACCCTGAGGTAGCTAACTAGCTAGCTAAGTAAAAAGTAATGTTAGCCTTACAGATGCATGAAATATCACATATGTCAACCTACTACAATAATGGAGATGATTGCAATAGATGAATTTTGTGTGAGTCATTCACCACCTAGAAGAGGTCTCAAACTACCAGCCCATGACATGTTTAAAATTCATTATTAAATCTGGCCTGCAGATAGATATTTTATTTATAACAGAAGAAACAATTATTCAGCTAATCTGTGCCTGCAAACTTAGCAGGTTTCACCATTAGCAACACCCCCACCCCCATCAAGTAGCACTTCCTTTAATGTGTTTGTTTTTTATATATAGTTCAGTAGTTGGCCTTTTGAGAATTTTAGACTGGTGTGTTCTCATGGATTAATAATAAAAATAAAAAATAATGGTCTTAGATTCTTTCTGAATGTTCTGACTTTCTTTGTATTCCACTTATATCAAGTAATTAAGTTTCCATGGTGATATTTATAAATATTTTTCAGTGAAGTTGAAATGAAAGGTTTGAATAGTCAATGAATCAATTCAAATGGTTCCCTCTATATCTGTAATCAAATAGCCTTGGGGCCAATGATTCATTTAGATATTTGACATGAAGCATTTTTAAATATTTCAATTCAAATGTATTGTGGTAGATGAATGAATCAATGATAGACGTTATACATATATACAGGCAGTCCCTGGTGAAGAGCGCCTGATTTACTGCCAAAAGCCATGTTATGTTAATCAATGGTTCGTAACAACTAACATACACACCACTTTGTAATGCTTATGAAAACATTGCATAGCTTCAGTGCTTTGTCGGCTTGAGGTACACTACAGTACCGTATGTAGTTATTTTTGTTATTACGGTATTATTGATACTATTATTATGTACTACATTATTATTGTTCCAATTTGCCTAAAAATTCAACTTAAAGATAAACTCAGGGAATGAATCTCGACCATAACCTGGGAACTGCCTGTATACACACACACACACACACACATGCAAGCACACACACTGTGAAGAGGTTTAATGGTATTATTAATATGCACTTAATCAGAATTAACAAAAAAGTTGAACTTACATCCTCATTTCTCATCCCAAACAAGGTTCCATAGTGACCAGGATATCCCACGAATCTTAAGATAAAAACAAACTTATAAATATAGGAAACTTAAACTCTTAAATAAAGTCATTCAATATGCTACTTAAAGATAATATATTCATAATATTTTACATATTTAAATATAGGTACAGTTCAGCTTGCACTACAGTAGCACTCCAGCGACATTAACACTTGGATGTCGACTGTTCTCTTTCATTCTGTAAAGCTGGAAAGCATCTGTATTGTTTGGAATTTTCTTTTTGTCTTGTCAGTTTGAGCATGGGTAGCACTGTCCCTTTCCCTCTTTACTTTTCGGTACGGATTTCCAGTATTTACCCGTTGTCTGCCCCCCATGCTTTTCTCACCATCATACCAGCAAGATCCACGACCCTCATAACCTATACAATGTCCCTACACTCTTTGGTCCCACCTCCCTCAACATCAGATGGTAGAACTGCCACTCCATTGTGAACAAGGCTAACTTCATCCCTGCCCTTGATATGCATCCGGCACTTCACATCCTAGCTCTCACTGAAACCTGGATCTGTCCAGAGACTAGCACTTCTCTTGCTGGACTATCTGCTGTCTTCTCTTTCTCCCACACTCCTTGTCTTACTGGGCCGGGAGGGAGGACTGGTTTGTTGATTTCCAATACTTGGAACTTTATCCTCTATTTGAACACCATACTCTTACCATCATCAACCCTGCCAGACTGTGTATTATTATTTATCGCCTGCTAGGCAACTTTATTGAAGAATTGGATTTGATTCTGTCAGCCATCCCAGATGATAGCTCACCACTTGTCATTCTTGGGGACTTGAACATCTCTCCTGATAAAGCCCAGGCTTCTGACTTCCTCATGCTGTTATCCTCATTAAGCCTGAGCCAGCTCTGCACTCCTACTGATAAGGCTGGACATTAATTATTGGGATTGATTTTTGGGGATAAAATAAAGATCAATCCTCATCCATACACCAAACCATACCCCTAACAACGTGCTTGTTAGCCCTTTTCATGTTTCTGATCGCTTCTTTGTTCAGTTCACATTGTTACTCCCTACCCTGCCTTCAGCCACCCCTCCTCGAACTTCCTTCCATCGTAACCTTCGCTCTCTTCTCCACATGCTTCACTGCTTCAGTCTACACCTCCCAGCCATCTCTATAGGATTTCTCCTCTCTTGATGCTGATGTAGCCTGCACAGGCGGTGCTCTGTGCTGGTTTGACTTGTATCTGTCAGACAGATCATTCCAATTGACTTGGGATGCAATGGTGTCTAAATCACATCAGGTAACAATAGGTGTTCCCCAAGGCTCTGTCCTTGGTGCAATCCTCTTCTGACACTACAGCCTGGATGAGGGACTATCACTTCTATCTCAGCTTCTCCAAAATGGAGCTTCTTGTCTTCCCTCCCAGCCCTATCATCCACCTTGACATCACTGTTCAGGTTGGATCATCCACACTGTCTCCTTCAAGGTCTTCTAGGAACCTAGGGACAATGACAGATGACCAACTGTTCTTTGCCAAGCACATAACAGTGGTCTCCCAATCTTGCAGACTTGTTTAACATCAGGAAGATCAGGCTTTTTCTATATCAGTTTGCAGCTCAGCTTCTATTCCATGCACTTATCACCACACGGCTTAACTACTGCAACTATATACTAGCAAGTCTACCAGCTTGTGCAATCAGACCATTGCAGATGATTCAAAGCGCAGCAGCAGCAGATATTCACGCAGTCCAAGAATTCTCATGTTACACCCCTTCATGTCTCTCTTCACTGGCTCCCTATTGGCATTTGTATCAAATTCGAGTCCTTGGTGCTAGCTACAGGTCCATTAATGAACAGATACCCATCTCCATCAAAAGGCTCCTTCAGACCAATGTCCCATCTCGCAGCCTTCAGTCAGCAAACCAACACTGTCTGGAGCTCCCTCCACCATTTTAGAAGTGTCACTCCTGAGGCTTCTCTTGTGTGGTTCCCCCAGAGTGGAATGAGCTGCCAAACCACATCTGGTCATCAGACTCCCTGCTAACCTGATTCTTCTTTGGTTGCTCTTATGCTGCACTCACTGGCCCTTGAGTAGTCTTCTTAGGGTCTTGCTTTGCTTACACTTATACCTGGGTATTCATTGTAAGCTCAGCCTAGTCAACTCTTTGACAGCAGGTTTACACAATGCTATTTGCTGAACTTGTAAATCACTTTGGACAATATGTGTAATAAAAATGTAGGATTTTATCAATGAATTCTTTGGTTCAGATTAATTTTCTTTCTTACAGGTCTGCATGTATTGCTGGTGCCTAGTATAATGTTTCTAAGAGTATTTTACAGTGTAGTATATTATAGGCTTAGACTGGCTATGAAGTTTCTGAAATTTCATTCAGTGAAATAGACTCCCTTAAGTAACTTCATGGAGTTAAATGGTATGGCAACTTGTTCAAAATGGGTTACATCATGTGGCTATATGGTGTCCATTTGTTCAGCTTGTATTCAGTTCAGCAGCATGGGGAGTTAACTCACCTTCCCTTAAAGAATGCCACATAGAATGGGGAAGAGTAGAAATTCACAAATTGGAAGATGAATACTTTGAAGGTGAATGCATCCTCATAGTCCGTCTGGGTTCTGTGCATTTCTGTAAAAAAAAAAAAATTCAATGTCTCTGAATAAGGTGGACATTTTTGCTTTATTTTGGCTTAGAAATATGGATTTTCTTAATCTCCTAACCTTACAGTGAAGACACCAGCCAAGTGTATGAAGCCTTTTGTATCATGATGATACCGTTCCTAGGATGTATGCAGCTCCTATCATTAAATATTCTCTACAGTGAATGGCATTTTACATAATAGTGGAAAGGTTCTTACCCCACTTAGTTAGCTGCTCGGCCATGGCAGTGTAAACCTGCCCCATCAGCAGGATCAGTGCCAGGTTCACCATGCTGCTGGAGATGTTGGCAATGTTACCCGCCTGAAGGTGCCACACACCCACATGCGCAAAAAAACAGATTCAGACAGAAGGACACACTTAGAGTAGAGAAGACACACCTAGACCAGCCCCATAAACATCGATGGTAACAAACAGAGAGTGCACCAAGCAAATATGTAAGAAGAGATTATGCGGGGATGAGGTGAATAGCTACCACTGTTTCACATGACCTACCTGAGTTCGCAGAACAGCAGTTTCTTTATGGTTTATCATTCCACTGACTATGATGCGGTACATGATGACAGTCACCAGGAAAATCATAACTACAGACAGCTGCAGGGAAAGTGGCCAACAAGCGATTAATCTGGATCTGTTTATACAGTGTATACACATGAGTTAATATACCATGCAACTTTTTTCAGAGGTCAGACTGTCACTAGGTCAGAGGTTCTCAAACAGTGTGGGCCTGGAATGCCATAGAATTCTGTCCTAACATGGAATTCTGTCCTAACATGGAATTCTGTCCTAACATGGAATTCCTTATTCAGCCAAATCAGAAGGTTAACATAATGCAAATATGCTGTATGTAATGTAAATGCTGTACAAAGTTTTTATTAAGCCTGTCAGCATTATGCGTTAATTTTGAAGTCATAATTCATCATTATTTCTTTTATTGCATTAATGGATGCAGTATTTTTAACCCCAAATTAGAGAATAGTATGAGCAAAGATATTTAAGGTTATCAATTGCTCAACCCGAAAAACAAATCATGTATTTCATTGTAACTTCTTTTTTTGTAAATTCTCGAGTTTGTGAGAATGGCTCATAGTTTAACATTTAATAGTTTCTTGAACTTGTGATGTACATTCCCAACAAAAATACTGCTTGCAAACAAGTTGAATTTTAGCACTTTCAAAAAGGCATTGAATAATCATACACTACATGAACCTATGATCACATGCACTCAAAAGGCTCGAAACACTATCTAACCCCAACTGCATGATTAATCTAAAATCTAAAACCTATTTAGCAAATGGCAGAAGCGTAACAATCATTGAAGGTGCACTTAATGACATGAAAGATCTTAAGGTTTTAAGGTATAAGCTTTCATTAAATAAAGCAAATAGTCCAAACCATGATATTTTTATCCAATGAATGCCTCCATCTGGCAATTCTTTAAAATAAAATAAATCAGGTAATATCAGCTTCCCTGTGAGACACTACCAAAAAGCTTTGAATTCTGGGATATTAGGCAATGTCATAACCTGAACTCTCCCGTTGTTTACAATTAGGAAGGAATATTGTAAGTCTCCATTAAAAATCTTTGCTCATACTATTCTCTCATTTGGGTACCAGAATGATGTATGCGTTAATTTGATAAAAGAAATTACAGGATAAAATAAATGCTATGTGTTAATGTGATGAATTTCCCAGCCATAATTTTAATGGTGTGATCAATCGCAATTAAAGGTGTAAGCTGACTGTGATTATTTTTTTCATTGGTTTGTTGATTCATGTTACTAAGCCTAATTTAAAAATATGGTTTTGCTAACATGATTTTGTCACAACACTAGTTATTCATAATGAAAAATAAAAACTAGATTTATTTTTATAAAAATGTGATTTTGAGTCATTTTTATTGTGACTTTGAGTCTATTTGAGATGCAATATAACTTCTATATACATTCTAATACAGTATATTCTACATTAATGAGGGTATATAGGTCAATATTTTGAGTGGAAAAAAAGCCTTGGGAATTCCATCATCATGGTGTGCCATGGGATAAAAATGTTTGAGAATCATTGCCCTAGGTATCAGAATAACCAAGAACCAGCATATCAATGGCTTCCACATAACCAGATCTCTTTAAAATCAATTTTTTAGAACATTTTGTACAAGAGAAACCTGAAGATCCAACGAAACTACCAGATGCACATAACAAATACAGATTTTATTAGCCTGTTTTAAAAAATGGAAGCCAAATTTTGGTGAAAAGTGTCAACAGAGAAGGGGATTTTCAGCCCACTGTTACCCACTCAACCCCCCTCTACCTTGTCCCTGCTCTCTCCCTTCCTGAAATATAAACCTAACCCCCCCTCCCCCCCTTCTAATAAGCTGTTAAAGCCCCACCATCACCACGATGACCATGGAGCCCGTCAACATGCGGGAGAGTCGTGCTCTCTTTGGGAAGTAGGGCTCCTTTACACCAGTCACGGGGTTGTTCTCCATTGCAGGTGCCATAGCTGCAAACTCTGCCCTAGGACGCTCCTGAATGGGGGTAAATACACACACAGGAACTACACAGTTATAATAATTCACATGTTGTACACAGTGACTGCAATTAATAGAAAAGAATGACTAGGGCCTATATACCTCTTCCTCGTGGAAATCCCTGCAGTCCCAGTGGTATGCTAGGGTAGCATTCTTGCGCTTCCAGTATTCCAGGAAGGTGACAGCCCAGAAGGACATGAAAACACTGAAGAAGACTGTGCCTGGGTGGTCAAAAAGGTAGCCCATCTACACAAGAGACGGCAGAGCTTGGAAAGTATGAAAAGACCTCTTTCGCTTTACTATCATTAACAGAAATGGCAGCAGAAAAAAAATACACGCTGCATAAGCTTGCATTAACGCCTGCATACCTTTGCCATGAGACAAGTGTCTGACAAGTTCCAGGTGTGGCAGGTGTCACAGAGGGCACACATGAGATAATGCCCCCCGCTGCTGCAGATCTCCTCCCTGCAGGAATAAACAGAAATATAGCATAGATTATTAAAAATATACAGATATGGCGGGAACCTTCCAACAACAAAAAAGGGTAAACAGACCACTGATAGTATGTAATAAGGAAAAGAAGATTATCAGCAGTAGTTAATCACAACAGTAAAAAAACAGAAACCTATATCAGAGCTGTAGGTAAATGGTTGTATTTTGCTCTTATGATACTGACATGGAAGACTGAGCCTAATGCAGACAATTACTCCAGTTCACATCCAACTCAGAGCAGACATGAACTGAGTCATCATGAGACAAACATTAGACACACAATGAACAGGCTTTCTACACAACACAGGGAAATTAGTCCATGGGCAAGACTTTCATTCACTGTTTCAGGCGTTATGCATTGTGGCTTTTCATTGTTTGTCTAATGTGCTGTTTGATATATTAGGTATGAAATATAGGTACTAGTCTTCCCTCTGTCTCCCTTGTACAGTTCCTGCAATTGTACTGTAATTGTACAATTACTGCATTTACCACTGTAATGTCTGTCCTGTTATGACTGGGTTCAGGAGGAATGCTATTTCATTTCTCTGTGTATTGTACATGGCTGATATGACAGTAAACCTTTGTTTGACTATTCTACTTGTGCATGACTAGGGCATTGAGATGTTTCTATTCCGAATGAGGACTTCCATAGCTAACAAGTCACTTAACTTTATGCACTTTACCAATCCACTGTCATCGCGCATCTTTTCCAGCTGTTGACAGACTGCTATTTTTCTTGTCTCTTTTGCAACGATTCTATTATTTTGTTCTTATTTTTTTTTTTATCATATTTTCTACAATTTTGTTGTTTTCTTTGTATTACCTTTTTCCACAAGCACAATCCAGGAACCAGGTGGAAAATCACTTTACTACACAGCAGCATAGTGTATGATTGCGTGTGTGACAAGTAACACGTGAAACTTGAAACTACGTAAACAGTAAATAGAAACAGCAGAGAACTTTCCTAGCTACTATCTAAAAGTCACTAAGTTAAACTGACCACACCCTGAGAATTATATTAATGGAAATATTGATGCTCAGAATATATTGTTCTATGCACTATATCCTGCTATCCATTTTGAAAATCTCCATAGTGCTATAATGCACCCACTATTCCTCAACCCGGGGATGTCCTTGTTAATGGATATCACGGCAAAAGATCACAGTCGAAACATCAATAGAGGTGCACTGCTTTTGAACTGTGAGACCATAAACAAGGATAACAGCATCCACAACGATAATCATGACAAATTTCCCACAAAGCAGTGACGTAAAAATGAATAGCTATGCGATACCGAAATGGCTGGAAACTCACGCTGGGGTATTGGTCCCCATCGATATGATTCCTGACAGGAACACAAGCGTCCCAACTACTGCTGCTGGAAGAAGCCAGGCTGTGTAGAAACCTGCCAGTGTAGACAGAAAAATAAAGAGATGAACAGATAAGATGAGACATAGAGAGACAGAGAGGACAGACAAAGACGCTGGCAAAAACTGGGAGAAATAATGTCAAATAAATACAACTGCCACCCAAGACAAAAAAGACCTGCATCTTATCCGTATTTTTAGTGTTTTTCTGAAACAGATCAGCTATTGAGGCAAGCATCTGTCCTGACAGGAGTACTGTATGTGTTTGGTGGATAAGTGGAAGCGGCCGTACGGAGCTGTGGCTGCAAGGCGGTCGGTGCCAGTAGAGGCAGTAACCCTCGAACCCGATGGTGGACACCAGAGGGCAGAGGTGAGGGGGGCCGTCAGGCTGAAGAAGGAGGCTTACCGGGAATTACCGGGGGTCTCCGGAGGCAGCTGACGGGTACCGGCAGGCGAGGCGGAACGCGGCTCAGGCAGTCGCAGAAGCAAAAACCCGGGCGTGGGAGGAGTTCGGTGAGGCCATGGAAAGTGACTTTCGGTCGGCCTCAAAAAGGTTCTGGCAAACCATCCGGAATATCAGGAGCGGGAAGCAGCTCGTGGTTCCCACTATTTATAGTGCGGAGGGGATGCTGTTGACCTCACCTGGGGACATCACCCGGAGGTGGAAGGAATACTTTGAGGACCTCCTCAACCCTGCCTCAGATACATCTACGCACACTGCTTTGAGACATCTGAGGGCACAGAGCCCGAGGGTGCTGGGGGGGGGGGCTTGCCCATCACTGGGGCTGAGGTGGCCAGGGTGGTTAAAGATCTATGTGGTGACCGGGCCCCGGGGGTGGACGAGATCCGCCCAGAGTACCTGAAGGCTCTGGATGTTGTGGGGCTGTCGTGGCTGACACGCCTTCTGAACAGTGCGTGGAGGTCAGGGACAGTGCTGCTGGATTGGCATGTGTTTTATGGATTTGGAAAAGGCTTACGACCGGGTTCCCCGAGGTGCTCTGTGGGGGGTGCTTCGGGAGTATGGGGTCCAGGGTCCGCTATTGTGGGCGATTCGGTCCCTGTATGAACGGAGCAGAAGCTTGGTCCGCATTGCCGGTAATAAGTCGGACGTGTTCCCAGTGCGGGTTGGGCTCTGCCAGGGCTGCCCTTTGTCATCGATCATGTTTATAATATTTATGGACAGGATTTCTAGGCGCAGCCAGGGTGTTGTGGGTGTCCAGTTTGGTGGCCTCAGGATTGCCTCGCTGCTTTTTGCAGACAATGTCGTCCTGTTGGCTTCATCTGCTGGGGATCTCCAGCGTGCTCTGGGACATACTGCCTCAAGTGGAGGAGTTCAAGTATCTCGGGGTCTTGTTCACGAGTGAGGGTAGGCGAGATCGGGAGCTGGATAGACGAATCGGAGCGGTGTCTATAGTTTTGCAGGCGCTTAACCGGTTCGTCGTGGCTAAGAAAGAACTGAGCCGAAAAGCAAAGCTCTCGATCTATTCGTCCATCTTCGTTCCTACCCTCACCTATGGTCATGAGCTATGGGTAATGACCGAAAAAATGAGATCGCGAATACAGGTGGCCGAAATGAGGTTTCTCTGCAGGGTGTCTGGGCTCTCCCTTAGGGATAGGGTGAGAAGTTTGAATATCCGGGAGGGTCTCAGAGTAGAACCGCTGCTTCTTCACGTCGAAAGGAGCCAGTTGAGGTGGTTTGGACATCTGGTGCGGATGCCTCCTGGGCGGCTACCCGGAGAGGTTTTCCGTGCCTGTCCTACAGGGAGGAGGCCCCGGGGCAGGCCCAGGACTCGCTGGAGGGATTATATCTCTCGGCTGGCCTGGGAACGCCTCGGCGTCCTCCCTGAGGAGCTGGTGGGGTTAGCTGGGGAGAGGGAGGTCTGGGTGTCTCTCCTGAAGCTGCTACCCCCACGCCCCGAACCCCAGATAATGGATGGATGGATGGATGGATGGATGGATGGGTGTTTGCTAGCAGTTGGTTTCCCTAGTCCATGTGACATAGTGATGCTAATTAGCAATTAGTCCTTCATTCAGGTGAGCATTGCTTTGTGTCTACACAGGGTTCCCACTCTCCCGTTGTTTTGTTAATTATGACTGTTGCCCTTAGCTGCGAGCACTTAGCTTAGCTCATTATCAGTAGGTCTTCTGTGTAAAGCACCTGCTTTTGTAAAGACCAGCAAACCTACAGGAAAGCTTTTGACCACCTAAGGATCATCTCTCTCCATTCTCAGTCTCATTCTTCCCTTTATATGCTCCCAATACATTCCTGCTGTCTGCTCCCAATGCACCTTACACTCTCTTCACTGGAAGAAATGCAACCCTGTTGATTGTTTCAGACAATTTCCTTTGTCACCCCCCCTCATGTAGGACTCTAGAACTGTCAGACTGCTGTCAATGAAGCTGACTTCATCCACGCCCTTGCTATGTACTCAGTACTTCACATCTTGGTACTTGCAGAAACTTGGATCTGCCCTGAAGACAGTGATACTCCTACCCTTTCTCCCACAATCTCTGTTCAGGATAAGTGGAGGGAGGAGAAGTTTGCTAATTTCCAATAACTCTCTTCACTCTGTGTAATGCCTACATTTGAGTATCATGCCGTTGCTATTGCTAATGCTAATGCTGTTAAACCCTGACACCATATGTGGCTCTGCAGGTAAGGGCCCCATGCCTGTTATCAGAAGGTTGGAGGTTTAAATCCTGTGCATGACAGAGTGATTACACTGTTGGGTCCTCAAAAAAGGCATTTAACCCCCCAGGATATGGCTGGTCCTGCTTTTTTAATTGCATGTTGCTTTAGATTAAGGTGTCTGCTAAATGAATATAAATTCTACAATGTCATTTGTCTTCCAGGTCCACAGGCCGCTTGATATCCTGCTGTCAGCTACTCCCAACAATGGCTTGCTGCTCGTCATCCTGAATATCCATCTTGGTAAACCACAGGCTACCAATTACCTGACCTTGCCGACCTAATTTATCCTGAGCTAGTTCTGCACTATAACTCACAGTTAGAAGCAAACTGCATGTTATCCTGATGTGTAACTGTATCACAGATAACCTACTTGTCGCCCTTTTACTTTATCACTTCAGCTGTAGCTTTCACTGCCTACCCCACTTGCTTCTTTGTCTCCTCTGCCCTTCTCCTGAGAACTTCTGTTCTCTTCATGCTAACAAAGCTGCTGATACACTCTGCAGCATCACCATCACCACCCCTCAGACATGCAAGCTATAGACACCCCATTCAGCCCCTATCCCCACCTGCCACTCTGACTGCTGATCATTCTCCCTCACTCTTCTAATTCTGAGGTCTCTGAGCTTCTCGTAAATCCACCACCTGTCCCCCGGACCATTTCTCCTTCAAGCTACCTCTCCTACACTTTCTCCTACACTCACTCACTTGATCAATACAATTGGTACATTTCCAACTGCATTTAAGCAGTCTCAAGTAGCCTCATTGCTCACAGTTATCTTGCTAGAGCTTTCTGCAGTTTTTGATACAGTGGAGAATGTCTCCATCAAGATCTGCCTACTAACATACAGTAGAGGTAATGATAGATGACCAGATATCCATATCCTCTGTATGACATTGGAAAGATTGGGCTTTACTTGTCAGAATATGCAGCTCATTTCCTAATTCAGGCACTCGTCATCTCAGTCAGACTACTGCAAATACTTATTGATAGGGGTACCAGCTTGTGCTGTCCAACTTTTGCGGATGATTCAAAATGCGATAGCATACCTGGTATTTAATCTACTAAAGCATTTGCAGATGACACCTCTCGCCTTTCTTCATTGACTCCCTGTAGAAGCTCAGATCAACAAAAGAGCAACCATCTCCATTCAGCCCCTGGGGACCCACACTGCATCTTACCCTCTACTTACTGTACAATGAGCCGATGCAGCCTAGACATCTTACACCAAGTGAAAACGTATAGTTAGGCAGATTGTGTGTGGTTCTTCTGAAACAAGTTACCCATCCACATCCTGCCAGCAGAATCCCTCTCAGCTTTCTGGAAACACCTACAGACCCAACTGTCCTGCTTTCTTCTATCTCTTAACTAGTCTGTACCCTAAGATGCTATTGAATGGATCTTTTGTTAGGTTTTGTCTTTTGTAATGACCTGTATAGCACCAATGCTAACTTGGACTTTTTACTAGTCATGTGAACCTCAGCCCAGCCACGCCTATGCATAATTGGTTCTGTGACCATTGTACTGTTGTGTTCTAGGTATCTGCCTCATGTGTGTCACTTTGGAGAGAAGCATCTGATTAATGTAAATCTGCTTACCCAGCCATGCAAAGTAAATGGCAATTTTTTCTCCAAAGTATTCTCGAATGTGGTCCAGTGGCTGGTATTTGTACCATTTGGACCAGTGGGCCCAGTAGTGGAACAAAACTTGCCGCTGGTTCAACTCTTCAGGCAGAAACTCATGTTCTGGTCTGTCAAATGGACCCTGGAAATAGAATACAAATTAGAATCCTGACGTCAAAAATGTAAGATCATAGGTGAGAAAGAATGGGAAGAAGGGGAAGATTATGCCTCTGACCTCATGAAGTGGGAATGCTGCAGTGAGAGCCCCCTCATTCAGCAGCCGTGCCACGCCCACTTCCGCCCACTTTCGCTTGCCATAGGCTGTGCGCGATAGAATCTCATACACCTATAGGCAAGAGTAAAGGCACAGGGGAACATAATGTTTTCCATCCATCTTCAAAAGAAGCAAATTCACCAAAACTGCGTGCTAATGCTTCTAATGAAACAGAAAAAGTGAACGCACTTAAGGAAAGCTACTCACAATACGCTGCCGCTGTGTGTTAGTAAAGTAGGTGCCGTGATTCTCAGAACCCAGGAACCTGTGCAACCACAGAAACATTTCTTTCCCCTAGCAGCACACAGGCATTGTTAATTTAGTAAATAAGCAGCGTTGCATGTCTACTCACTTGTCCATCTTGGATTTGCGAAACGCACAGGTGTAGTAGTTCACTGGCTTGTTAGGAACGTACTCCGCCATGATGTTTGGAAGACATAATTTTTTAATCATCTGATCTGATGTGTTGTGGTCTGGATTTGGCTGGGCCTGAAAAAAAGAATGTGTTATATAAATACTTGCTGCAATAAAACTGGGTGACTTGATTGACTGCGCAGTAAGAGCCTTAACCTGAAGGGGTGCTCTAAGGCAAAGCTCTTCAGCATAGTACACTAATACATCCCGGGGGGCACTCAGCTTCAGATAGTGGATGGTTTTCTTCTCAATCACAGTCTCCTCCTATGACAGAATTGGAAACATTGTATTATACTTACAGTATACAGCATAAATGTGTATACCCACTATGAAAGCTAAAAGACTAAGCTATCTGTCCTCATACATTAGAAATACATATTCTGGGGTTAAATATATATCGTCTGTCAATACTGTACTAGTCCTTCAGTTACAAATGAAATATGTCAGAACAAAACTAAATATATATATATTTTTTATCAAAGTGATAGAAGGTCACTGCAAAAATGAGTAAACCCACCAGGAAACTGCACAAGTCCACAATCTGTCTGCTGAGACTAGTTAACGGTATTTGATCAGTAGACGTGTCTGTTGAACTGTGAAACACGTATAACTGGTTAACCCTCAATTAAATGAACTTAAGCCTTCCAGACTTGGGAAGGGACAAGGGAACCATGTGGGAGATAACTGTTTGGAGACATACAAAGTCATGATATTGCCCAAAAGACATATAAGAATACATTAAGATTAACAAATCACTGGTATTAAACCAAATCATGGATTTAAAAATTCAAAAGACATGTGCAAACACCCTGAAGCTTTTAGGACACATCAGAAACTGGCACCAAATCAAAAGTCGTGAAAAGCCAAGCTGGAGTAACTGATCACCTCACACAGAAATGGAATCCATGGTGCTCATCCACATAGGCAGTAGCTGTAGAAGCCAAAGAACAATATGGCTCCATTTAACCTTTGCCAAAAACCACATCAACTAAGGTAAAGACTTCTGGGAATCTGCCCTTTGGTCAGATGAGACTAACATCAATCATTTCAGATTTGATTGGATACCAGAGGTGTGAATGGTTTGTAACAATGCATTATGCAATAATGCTGTATCATGTAATAACTTGACAAAATATAACAAATTTTCATCACAAAATGCAGTGTTACTACATAATGTGTTGTAACAACCCATTATCTAATAACACCACATTCTGCAATAACTTGACAAAATGCAAAAAAATTTCATTAGATAAATTAAGCTTTCTGGGGCATTTCAGGGGCGTGATGCTAAGTAGTTAGATATCTTGTACTTAAGATCATTCGTTGACTAATAAGTATTTCTCAAAACCCTTCGTAACTAAAGTAGTTTGTAACCTCATTCATAAATTAACGAGGGACCCACACATTATCTTCTATGTTGTTCTTTATTTGAACTTCAGCCTGCTATTCTGTCACAGAGACACAGAAGTCACCCGATGCTCTTTTTTGAACAATGTAATGATAATGATGATAATGATGATGATAATGATGATGATAACTATCCTCCTTCCATTTACTGTAACTGCTTGTCCCATGCAGAGTTGCTGGGAGGGTTGGGGCTAAAACCAGAAGCCACGGGTGGAAGGTACGAAACAACCCAGGACGGGGCACCAACCCATCACAGGGCAGACTTACTGTACTGTGGGTGGGGGGCACTGAAGTACCTGGGGGAAACCCCACAATGACACGGGGAGAACATGCAAACTCCACACATGGAACCATGGCAGAGACTCAAATCCACTGTTGTTGATGACAATAATAATAATAATAATAATAATAATAGGTTGATGTTGCAACATAAAATTTTATGCAGGCTATAAATTTGTTACATTTTATCAAGTTATCACATAATGCAGAGTTACATGGTTTCCTCAGTAAAGCAATTTCTTATATAGGGATGTATGAGAGCTGAAGGCATCATGGATTCATAGATGTTTTGCAAGATCCTGAAATAAAAGATGCCACCTTTTCTCCACACTCTGGATGACTGTAACCTATTTGAACATGACAATGAACCCTAACATTTTTCTAGGGTCACTTTCGTAAGTAAGCACAAAATTGAAAGTTGGAGCGGACGAGTACGTCATCCGATAACCCCACTGAACACCTGTGGGGAACTTTGGGAAGTTTCACAGAGTTGGCCCTCGAACATCACAAGACTCATCCAGGACACATCCTGCAAGAGTGGCACAGGATAGTCATGACAGTATGCCACGAACTGGCACACGCCATGCCAAAAAGGATGTCTGCAGTAATGAAAGTGATGATAGATTTCCTAAGTACTAGAATATTACATTTTTTAAGAATTTAATTAAAGGTGTACATTAATTTTTGCAACAGTGGATTTAAGTTATGTTAAATAGAAGTATTTTAGAAATATTGTCAACATATCCTTCTATGCTGTTCAGTACATGTTTAATGCATTTTAATTTTGTTGGCTTTCAGTGAATTGTAATCACCATAGCTTGGGAAACTAAATATATCTGCTTTGAGGGGGTGTACTCATTTATGCTGCATACTATACTTCCAAATGAATGCAATATGATGATACATCAAATAAATAAATTAATTAGAAACACAGAGCTAGAGCATAACAGAATGGTGGCGTAACATGGCAAAAGCATGAAGTAATTGAAAGACCTTTTCCAGAAAAAGTCTGGCATTCTGCAAATTACGGATGAATTTGTCCCTCCATTGGTCCAGCTGGGCCTTGTGTCGCTCTGACCTGCCCCCCTCCTCAGCTCCAGCTTCAGTATCGCCCACACTCTTGCCGCACCCCTTGGCCCGGGACCGTCTCTTTCTCTGGGACCGCACTTCCCACACTAGCACAAAGTCTGGCACGAGGTCAACACATTATACGTTACACTCTCTCATATTTTATAACCACTGATGCCTTCAAAGTAGCTGACTACAGAATTTATCACTGAGCAACATCATTGTGTTTCCGTTGTTTTAATAAAAATGTTACCTATTTTTGTTCTCCCATCTCTGAAGTAGTTTCCATGGGGATGGGGGGGTAAACTATCATTCTTGTCACACTGGATGTAAAGAGGCTCCTCATATTCATCTTCGTGAGTAGCAGCTAGCTGGAAACAAAGAAACATTTCAAATTAATCCGGGAAATAATTCACCAGCGTTAAAACTTATTATTTTTACTTACTGTTTGCAGTTTTCTCCATTGCAACTGCACTGCAATTGCAACATTATTGCGTTGCGGCATGATTACCCATGTTGGAAATGAAAAAAGCAGTCAGACAATGCAAAGAGAGAACAAACGAACGATGGTGAATGAGCAGAAAGTAAAACAACAAAATCATATCTGATATTGGTGGAGGAAGAAGGTAGGAAGCATGTACCTTATCAGTAGACCAATATGGCAAAAAATGTGCCTTATCAGTGCATCTCCTTCCATTCACCTTAAAAGTGTAAAGCTGACTCATACAAGCTGACATCTTACTCAGCTGCTATTAAGACCCTAAAGTCAGTGCAAGAGTTTGAAGCACAGTATGTATCACAAGGCAGCCCAGACAAACTGCTGTGCAAGCATCAGAGGCAAGCAGTTGCGTCATTAGATAAGCCTGTCAGCCAGCACCGGGGGGAGATCAGGTACTCACATAGCGGTGGGGAATAAAGCCGCCGTTCTGCAGGCTCCCGTAGCAGTCGGTGCTCGGCTGCTCACCCATAAAATCCATATCCAGCAGAGCATCTCTATCCTCCATCGCCAGCTCAGCCTCTTTTTCTTCAGCCTGGTCAGGCCTCCCAGGAAAATGAAAGAGCAGGTGAAAAACTCCCGCAAAGAAACACAGGCACAGTTAAACATATGCTGCTTGTAACAAAATGTAAACATACAATATGAATTATATTAAATGAAGGGAAAAAGAATAGTCGTTTGCTGTTTTAGATTTACTTGCAAGTTGATGATATCAATAAAAACAAGATTCGGTAGCTCAAGATGTGAATGAGGGGTAGGGATTTGCTAGGAAGGACCGTATATCTGCAGCAGGCTATACATCTTCCGTTGTCTCCTCTCCTCTGTATCCTGATGTAACCGCACACTCCCCAGCAGAGCCAGGAGATATGTGAAGTACCACATTCAACCTAACACAGGGGCAGGGCAGTTTGACTCTGTCAAACAAAGTCATCTGCAGCACAGCTGGCAGAAGTGTGGTATATTGTGTTCCATCTGATGAAGGCCTTATTACTCAGTCTGTCACATGATTGTGCTATGAGTGAAGGCCAGCAGAAGTTTAGAATACCATATTACCCAAAAAATCTGTCAGAGTCAGTCTTGTATAGTTTACAGAAATCAGGGCTACCATATTCCATGTAACACAAGAGCAATCCAGTCTCGGTCAGCCATTTATTCTTATCCCTGCCATGTCAGGTCATAAAGCAGAGTACAACCTGCCAGTCTATCACAGAGCATACACACTCACAGATACACAGTCAATATAGAAATATTGATATGCAAATTAACCAAACAACATATCAGTGGTATGCAGGGGAAACCAAAGTACCACAACAAATCCAATGTGACACAAGCAGAACACGCAAACTACACAGAGACAGAGGGCAGGCAGGATCCTACCAGACCTTTTTTCTGGTTTTTCAGGCTAACCTAATATACCATCCAGTGGAAGAAAGGTGCAAAGTTTGTACAAAGCAACATGCATAAGATTTACAGTCACAGGATACATGTAGGTGACTTAGAGTAATATTTGTCAATCCAGTCCTTGGGCCCCCTAGACAGTACATGTTTTTGCTCCCTTCAGTGACCCCCCCCAGCAAGTTAGGATCATGTGCATGTGATCAGAAGATCACCAGTTTAAATCCTGTAGTCAGCAGAGCGGTTTCACCATTGGGCATTGTTACCTAAAATGTAGTGGCCAAATGAAGTGCCACAAACCATTTGTAGTATATTTTTTATCCCACTAGATGGTGTTCAATGTTCAAAAAAGGCTCAAAGCAATAGTTTGTGCTTTATTCTTTAAACCAGTGGGATCAAATCTAATGAGATCAAAAATGTCGCAAATGGTTTAATGACTAGTGAAGCTTCATTTGGCCATCACTACTAAATATGTTTTACAATTTTTAGTAAGAAGTTGTCTTCATTTGATAAAAATCAGTGAAGGTCACCCCCCCCCCCACCGAAAAAAAAGAGAAAAAAATCATATAGAAAATTGTTGGAAACAATTCACCAAGTGACTGTTTCGCTCGCTTAATCAAGTTCCCAGGCAGAATTCAGAAATTGTCCGTGGGAAAGACGACCAAAAATGAAGCCTAAGTGAGTAACAAATGAATATCGTTCGTTTAAGTACATCTAGTAGAAAACTTACCATTATTACTGTATTCTTTTCTCAGTATATTTGCTATGTATGTTACACACATTAAAATGATCCAGAAAGGTTAGTAAATCTTAAAGTCACTTGCATTATTTATCTTTATCATCGTATGAATGTTAAAGATTTCTCAGTCCAGTGTATCTCCCCCTTCTAACCCAGTACTTGATTGAAATGATCGTTACCTTGAAGAGCTGCATCATGTGAGAGAGCCACTGCTTATGGCATTAGAGGTGCTGGAAAGGGGATGCAGGATGACTACGGATCCAAGGGAATGTGGCCGTGGTCACAGGCAGAAAAGCCCCCCTGCCCAATTCTCACCTGCCTCAAGAGATGTGGAGGTGAGCAAATAAAAAAACGATTCGCAGAGATGGGCAGTATTTCGATTAAAAGTATTTAAAATACATATTTAATTACTTTTGAGTATTTTGTAATGTGTATGTTGCTGGATAGAAAAAAATCTGGTGTATTTCTTAACAAAGTACTCCAAGCGATTGCACTTTATGTATTTAAAATACTTAAAATCTTAATAAAAAGTGTCATTATATTAATTTAATTTCAGACATTTTAAGAACCTTCATCTTCAGGCTTACAGGCCTTTAAATTTAGCTTATCACTGACTTTGGCTAGATGAAAATAAATTGCATGAGACCTGTTGGACCCGGCTGGCTCGTTGTGAACTTCATTTTCCCATGATTAGTAATCCAAGGAAAGAAGCCGGTTTGGTGCTCGATCCCCCCCAAAGCTCAGCCCCAGCCCGCTGCCGCAGGTGCAGTATATTGAGCTCTCATTATGCTACTAATGTTACAAAAGTCATTTTTCATTTCACAAAAACACTATAAGACATGGAAAACACAATGTTATTATTCTGTTTAAAGTTAGGGCAAGCTGTATATTTTGTAAATATTACACATTACCAGGGCTGCAATAGTACAAGTATTCATCATGTGTTCATTCAAAGTACAAGTTTTACATCTATTTTTGTGTTTTCAAATTACAAATCACTTGTATTACTTGCATTACATTCTTCCACACCAGTATTTTGATGTACAAGATACTTTTGATGTATTTGTGTCGATCTCTGTTGATTGATTAATTTGGCAGCATCCCCTAGCGATACAGTAAGTAAACTACTTCATTTTCAGTCTTTTAGATTACCTTTAATTTGTTTAGAACAGGTGTGTAACAGGTGCACACACATATAATATCGTCTTAGAAAAATGGCACCTCATTACTATAACTCCATCGTCTTTGGCAGAATATATATAATTTCCTCTCTCTCTCTCTCTCGCTCTCTCTTTCTCTCTCACACACACACATTCTATAGAACCCAGCATCTGCACCTAATAGCTTTGTTACCAACCAACTGATTGAACAATACTGTATGCTGTTAGAGATGCGTTTATGGATAGAATTTCACAAACATGTTATGACTGCCGACTTCAGAGTTAATGTGTTTTTTAACATTCTAAATAAACATGGTTTTATTAAAAGGAACAGCATTCAACATTTTAATGAAATTTAAAAATAATAGTACACTTTGTTTTGTGATGTTATTTTATGCAATTCATTATTAGAAACCTACAAGAATCATGCAAGAAAAATCCAATAGGATTTTCTTTTTTCAAAAATCCAATAGGAAATACAATTCTATAAGGAAAAATCCAATAGGAGATGAAATCCAATATGATCTGGTTCATTTTTTGTATTTAAAAATATTCCAATAGGATTCCTATAGGATTTTGGTTTAAAAAAAAGATTGTTTGATGTGGGTAAACTAGTAATCGATGCTCACTGCTGTTGCCACAAACCACAAACGTGAACTTTATATCCCTTTTTATCTTCCTGGTTTCATGCAATTGCACAGTTGTTGACTTTGCCTCTATGCTTTGTCCCTTGGTTACCGTGTTTTGGTTCCTGTTGGAAACTTCGCTCAGCCGCCTGAATCTGCCCCCATCCCTGTCCTAGGCAGGAGACGCCACATTCGCTTTTCACTGAAATACCTCACTGAGAAGTCCTGCTGTGCGCCGCCTGACACATATTAGTAGTAGTACTATTATAGAAACATTCTGCCCGTACCTTAGGAACCAAAGTTATTCGCTTCAGTTTCCTACCGGTACTTTTTGCGATCGGATAAAGTTACAAACGACAGGGCCTTCCAGCTGTCGCCCTGATCAGGATAAGCTGTTAGACAATACATGTCATAAATGTAAAATTTTGGGAGACTGCATGGTAGCTTGTCCTTTCATAGGTAATGAAATGGAATCTGTCATTTTAGGAACAGTGAAGAATCAAATGATTTTTAAAATATGTCCTGATATAACACGGAGGTAATTCACAATGCAATTAAAGATATTCCTGCATAATATTGTCAGTGAATATTACAACATATTAGTGCCAATATATAATAAATAGCAAAACGTGGATGCCTGTGCAGCTGTGGATACAAAATTTATTACTCAAAATCAGCTTCAAAGGGTAATGGTACATCAGTCTGTATGTTCTACTTTTGTAGCGCTCTTGATGTGCTCTTAAGATTCTGAGGAGAGATGGAATCTGAGAATATGAGGTGAGAAAATTTGTTTTTTGTGTGGCAGACTGTGAGAAGATGAGAACTGTATAGCATGTTGGGTCTCTGACCCTCTACCTGATACGTAGTTGGAAAATTGAAGGAACTGAACTCTTGGAACACAAGACCATAAGAAATTTACAAATGAGAGGATGACATTCTACCCATCAAGTTTGGGGAGAACTTTGCTAAAAGCTCAGAGTTGTTAAAATCACATCTAGCTCTCATTTAAAGAAACTCAAGGTTTTAGCTTCCGCTATACTAGCAGGAAGACTATTCCATACACTAACTAGATGCTGTGTAAAGAAGTGCTTTTTAAAATCCAGTTTAAAATGTTCTCCAGCTAATTTTCACCTATGGCCACGAGTTCTTGTATTTGAACTCGTAGTATTAATATTAAAGTAACTATTTGGTTGAACAGCATACAGACCTGTTAGTCTTATGTACCTGGATCATGTCCTTTTTAAGGTATGGTTACCAAACTTGCACACAATATTCTAGATGGGGTTTAACCAAGGAATTGTATAATCTTAGCTTCAACTCCACACACATAGAGATGTAACCCAACATCTTATTGCCCTTTTTAATTGCTTCCCAATACTGGTGAGAGTGGGACATGGAAGCATCAATATACACACCGAGGTCTTTCTCATAATCAGCTTCCTTTATTTCAGAGGAACCCACAAAATATTTGTACTTGTATTTCTGCTTCCTGCATGGATAACCTTACATTTGTCTACTTTAAATAGGGCTGGCTACCAAATTTTGATACTTTTTTGGTACTGGCCAAATTGCATGAATACTTTTGAGTATTGTCATTCTGTACCAAATTCCAATACCCAAGGCATCAGTGTCATCAGCATGCACAGCCGAGAATGTGCTGATATTAAACGTGCATTTTGCTGAAAATCCTTCTGTTGAATTTGCTCAGTACTGTTTTGTCATGAACTGCAAGTCGGCTTTAGTGATTAGGTGGGAGTGTTTTCAGATGCTTGGACTCCTGTTCTCTTTGATATCATTTTCACCATTTACTCATTGTAAATTTCTGGGGTTTTTTGCCTGGCCTTGGACCTCAGTGACTGTTTGTCCTTCCGTTTTTCCCACAGTGTGGATCATAGCGACGAGTCCAGGATTGGACTAGGGTTACGGAAGTGTAAGTCATTTTTTACTGAACAGCTCCACCCATTTAATATTATTAAAATTTCCTCAAACTGAGTTTGAAGTAAGTATATTACTTTGTTTTAGTGTAATATTTTGACATATGAATGAAATGATTTGTGAAATAGCAGTGGTCTAGTTAACAACGTTGACCTACGTCTTTCAGAAAATATAAAAAACATAACCAGCATTTTTTGTTTGCCCTTCAGTACTTTACATTGTTTATGTTGCCCATGTGTGATCTGATTTGCCAGTATCATATCTAATGTTTGGCACTTCAATATATTATTCAGTCTCTTTTCTGAGCCGTGTACTTACCTTAGAGCAGCTGGCATAGCAAATAATTTGCTTTGCAGTGTTTTACCTGTAAATGAGACACATTATTTGTGACTGGTATGATGTCTAAGGCTTGGTCCTTTTGAATGTATTATTGTGTGCTATAGTCTTTGGAATTGGTGTTTGTTGCTGTAAAGTAATAGGAATATGTGATATGCCATTATCACAATCAGTATTTACCTTTTTTCCTCTGTTTAGACGTCTGTGAGCTTACACTGGATCCCAAAACACCGCATACAGTTCTGTCTCTGTCTGACGGCAACAGAAGGGTGACATTTGAGGGAGAGAGACAGTATAGACCAGGTGGCCCAGGGAAATTTACCGCCTGGCCTCAAGTCCTGTGTAGCCAGGGTCTCTCTGGTCAATGTTACTGGGAGGTTGAGTGGACTGGAAATAGAGCTGAGATAGGAGTGGCATACAAAAAGATAGGCAGGAATGATGACACTGCGGTTTGTCGGCTTGGAGCTAATGATAAGTCCTGGATTCTGTGCTGCACCAATAATAGCTCCTCAGCTTACCACAATAAACAGGAAAGTGTCATCGCTTCTCCGCCCTCCTCCAGAGTAGGAGTCTATCTGGACTGGGTGGCCGGAACTCTGTCCTTCTACAGCATCTCCTGTGGGAAAATGACCCTTTTGCACACGTTCCACTCCCATTTCACTCAGCCTCTACATCCAGCATTTGGGCTGTACACTCTTGGTTGTTCTGTGCACATTTGCCAGCTGAAATGACTGTCTTGGGGGGAAAAAAAGACAAGCTACTAGAGAAGACATCATATTCATACAACTGACTCATTACGCATAGAAAATTATGGCTGGACTGGGATTCAAAATGAGTTTTTTAGCATGTCATGAAAAGTTATACCCCAATTTCAGCTGATTCCCAAACTGCACAGAATGTGTGTATCCACTCTTCCCTAGAAAAATGAGCATGTTTGTACACAATTGTACACTTCTGCAGGAAATTGTGTAATGACTCTATACATGTATGTATAATGTACAATTATTTGTAAATCTTGTTGCCCACGATTAAGATGTCTTACTCTGTGAAAACCCAGAATCAGGATAAGCATTAACCACTCTGTGATCTGTATGCACTAATTTACAATGATGTCGGGAAAATGTGGTAAACAATTATATATTTGTGCTTAAACTTTTCTGAATGCAAGAATATTTTTTTTTCTAAATGTTAATATAACGCTTTGTAATATGCAACATTTTCAGTGTTTTCAGTAAGATTAGATTCAACATTCTAATCCAGCTCTCAGGACAAAACATACAGATAAAGTACATGTTATAATTAGGGTCTGGAAACATTTTTCAAGGTGACAGAAAACTGAAGTCTTATATAATGATCCTAGAGGTGAGTGAATTTGCTCATTATTAGTCAGCTCTGCCTGGCCTGATTCCCACACATCTTTCAATGACATTTCCCCTGCCATACAGATCAGTTATAGTTGTTCCTAAGAAACTGAACTTTTTGGGCAGATGGGTTGGACCACATGGCTGTGCAAACCATTTGAGGGTGATACAGGGCTTTAGAGCATGAAGACCAATTTAGATGTCTTTATTTGCATATTTACACAACATTGTACATATATACATTATATTGATGGAATATTATAACATGCATGGTTTAATATGCAACAAGGATATTTTTGTTAGGATACAATTATTTAATCCTATTACCGTATTTGTATACTTCAAATGGTCACATACAAAATAAAAACGAATGGTTGAATAACCATTTTTACATTCAAGGTGAAGCTTGACCAGTCAAAAATTTTTACTCCATCATTGTCCAGCAATGTCCATACAATATTCAAGTGTACCCTGATCAACTCCTCTTCATTCCTAAAATATTTGATGGCAGGTCTAACTCCCTTCTTAGTCATCACACGTTTTAAGGTCATCAAGCAATTCCAAAGTGCAGCTCAAAACATGCAAGTGACTTAATATTTTAAAAAGTAATAAATATGCATGCAATATGCACACACAAAAAGTGACCGTTGTCTTAGAAGCAACCACTGCTTGCATTCTCCTGCTCTCATTCATACACATCAGTTAAACCGTGTAAATCCCCCAAATCATGTACAGTAAAGTCTACATTAGCACTTCTGTATGGCACAGTTGTGTAACAGCACTAATGAAAACATCAGCTCTCGTATTCAGTCTATTAGTCACTGTACACGAAAGAAAACTACTGACAATGAGGGATTCCACACTTTGTACTATTGCTCTGTGCAAGCAATTCCCATTAGTGTACTAAGCTGTAACCAGGGCAGCTTATTCCTGACATTTTATCATGTCATTTTATGCCATTTTTTGGTGTTGGCATCAGGCACCAACAACGTGCCATGTACCGCTTCATAGAGATTCTACATGCTTGAGGGAAAGCAGCAATATTGTCCACTAGAGTGACCTGGGATACCGTAGGAGGAAAGTCTATATTAAAATTCTGCCTGTTCACCAATCCAACACTTAGAAAACATACCTGCATGTTCTGGGGAAGCAGTTTTAGCAACAGACTGTGGTGTGATGGAACCAGTTTAGGTTCTTATGACACCAGTGTATCCACCTCTCACACACACACACACACACACACACACACACACACACACACACACACACACACACACACACACACACACACACAGGTGGTGCTCTGCCTTTTACTGGGGTTGGTTCATACCAGTGCCTGGTGAAAGGAATTTTGTGCCACATTGATCTCAGGGATGAACACAAACACTGAGCTGCTATTTCACACATTAACTTTCCTGATTAGAAGAACTGATGATTCTATTGAACACCAGGCAGAAGTCCTACCTCCAAAATTACTTTAACGTGCCACAGCTACCTCTATGCAATTATAACTGAATGAGACAGCCTATTGTTTTCAGGGGCTCTACTGCTGAATATAATCTCAGTTATGTACTGATCTGGGGGGACTTTTCAGTTAGCTAGGTTTACTCATACTAGATGTCATGACTGTCCAATAGGAATGTTCCTTACCTAAACTCTAATTGGACAATCATGACTTCTAGCTTGAGTAAACCTAGCAAACTGAGAAATCCTGCTTTGTGGAACACCCTCCAGGTCCCGTTATCCATGCAATCAGCAGGTGTTAGTGAAACAGGCCCTTTGTCCTTCAGCACCAAGGTTCCCTCTGAGCTCGACCACGCTGCAGGCTGTCACTGCGCTGCCAAGCACTGCGAATCAGCCCCAGTGCCTCCCTACACCTCGCCCGCATTAAGGGGTCCAACATGGCCTTACGGGGCAGGGACACCTGTGCGTGATTAACATGGAGGGTAGATGCTGTAAAAATCCAGTGGAAAACACAGAATAATTCTTAGAAATTTTATTTTTAATGCCAGTGATACCTTAAAGATGTTTTTCCAGCTGCTCTCCAGGGCCTCCAACAGACGGGCTCTTTCCTCACAGCTGCTGAAATAAAGGACCCATGGAGGCAGGAACTGAGCTCTGTCTACTGAAAACTCCTGCAGAAAAGAGGAGGTCACATCACCAGCAAAATACTGACACTGTGGACTTAAAATGAGGGTTAAGTGTTAATACTGCCCTACAAAAGTAAAACACAGTAAGTAAGCTGAGACTGAAACTAAGAAAAAGGGTGTTTTGTTGTGGTTTTAGTGTGGATTTTGCAGTTGCTGTAATTTTCACAGAGTTTTTTGTTAGCCTTCTGCCAGAGAGACCCGATTGTGGTCATAACTCAACTTTGATAAAATATGCAGTTAGTGTTTTGCATTTTTTAGAATAGTAACATAATACAAATATTAAACCCCTACAACGTACAAGTGAGTCCAGCAAGTTTCAATAACTATGAAGAAATTAAGGTGTCTTACAATGACACAATATTCTTTGTCCATTTCCAGGCAAATGGCTGTAATGTCATGCAGTTCAGCCCCTCCCAGCAAGCGAAAGAAGTTTGTCTGGCAGTCCTGATGGCAGGTCAGCAGCTTCCTGTCCGTCAGAACCAGGCAGCATGGGATAGAGGGCGGGGGAGCTACTCCCTGAGGAACCACCTGGGAGCAAAGAAGAAAAAATGTCTTGACTGATTTTACATCCTTGTTCTGCTGACTTCCTAGACTAAATGACTAGATTAAATAACTTCTCAGGAAATGAGTGTCACGCCCACGCAGGCATAACCCAACGGGTGCGCAGCATTACAGCCGATTAGCGGGCTTTCAATAGAGACCGAGAAGCCGCTGCACGTTGCGAAGTATTGAGTCAAATGACTCTGAGCCTTACTGAGCAATTCTGTGTCTTTCGTCTGCCCTATTTCCCCCGCCAATTCAGTTTGCCTAGTGTGTTCGCCTTACCCCTTTCCATTCCCAGAGCCGCTCCCCACCTGACCCGCTTTCCCTGCCGAGATCGGCACGTCACGTCCCTGCTACCCTGTGTGGTCGTGTCCCCGTGCTTCTTCGTAGGACGGATTCCCTGGCTACTGACCCTCGCTTTCGACTATCGACCCTGCCTATTGCTGATCCTTGTCTGTACCTTTGCTCTGATCTCGCCATTAAAGCCGGCTGTTGCTTGCATCTTTGGATCCGTGTTTTCCTGTCTGGGCGAGCACCACAATGAGGCAGCAGTGGTTAGCAGTGCAGCCTCCTGGTTGTGGTTTTCTGTCCCATGTCTGTCATTTTGGTGTGGAGTTCGCGTATACTCCCTGTGTTTCATGCAGACACTCTGGGTCCACCCACTTTACATGCAGTCTGATGAACTGTTTCCCCAAATTATCCACAGTGTGTGGTTTTGTCAGAGTACTTGCCCTGCGACATGGTTTAAGGTGTCCCCGGACTTGTGCTCTGTGTTTGCAAGCATCCCGCATTACTGTGCTGGATTAGTGGGTGGAAAATAATGGGTCAATAGATTCTAGAACTCTAAGGGCACGTACTTTTGGTACTTTCCCTTTTCCATTGACTACTGGTGGAATACCAGTACCAAAAGTGCCAAAACAGTTGGGGAACTTCTTTGGTACTTTGGTATTCTTGGGTGGGGACTTGAAACACTCTCTTTGTAAACTGGTTATGCAAACAGCCACAGATGCAGTACAGCCTCAAACTTGAAAACAGTTACGAACTCAGAAAGCAACGATAAAACGAAGTAGAAAAAAAAAAACAATAATAAATTATTGTGATCCGATTGGAAGAACAGACAATAAGATCAGAATGGCATGACAAGAAATTTTAAAAAAGTATTTTTGTTTAATTTACTATGACAGCATGCATATACCATAGGGTATTTATAAAGCAAAAAGGAGTTCACAAATGTCTTTAAGATGATTTTTTTTACATATAATAGATAATCTGTATAAGAAATTATAATTAGAATTGCAAAGGTTTGCTAAGGTTTCTTTTTCTATGACAGAGTAATAATGTTTCAGCAAAACAAACTCCTTGCGCTATGATGTCTGTACAGAATTGAAAGTAAGAAAAAGCCTGATCTTAATCTAGCTTACTAGAGATATAAGAATTGTACATGCATAGCATGCGATGTTGATATTAATATCTCACATTGTCCAGCTGTGTAATATATTAGCCATTTGTCAAATTCAGCACAAAATACCCCACCTCGCATTGTGATGTCATTCAGTGCCAGTACCAGTTACGGCAGTGGAAAACCAACACCTTGATGTACCGTACTTTTGGTACTTTCTCAAAGTGGGTGGAAAACCACCCTAAGGTAACTGGGGAAACAGCTCCCAGCTCAACTGGAAATGAGGCCAAGAACTACTTTTCCTGTTTGAGAAATGGACAACAAAGGAATTGTGTGGCTGTCACACTCAGGAACCATAGATATGACTGACTGATCAGTTCAATTCTACGGACACCACTTCAATATGGCAGTTATACAAGTTGAACAAATTTATGACCCAACACCTCATGTGGACGAAAGAGGAATTGCAAAGCTTTATACCCAGGATCAGGTTAAAATTAACAAGACATGCAAACATGCAATAATCCTGACCGGAGTGTGGCAAATTTTGAGATGAAAAGGAGGGAAATACTTATCTAGTATAGTTATTTAGTATGAAACTGGAGAATAACTAAATGCTGTGGGAATGACAACAGTGTATTCCCTGGATGACCCCATCTAAACCCTACTCCTCTCACACCTCCCAACGTATACAATCTCTAGTACCCCTACATACTTTAACCATGCTGGACAGGTGACAAAAAGTTCTGAAGGTTTTCCACTACGGTTATCAACTAGACAGTACATATAAAAATAACTTGATGCTGTTAGAATGACAGCAATGTATTACCTGGATGGCCCCGCCTCTCCCTCCCCCAACCCGATGCCTTCTCATCCCACACCCCTACCTCTACAATCTCTAGTCCCCCTACACACTCTCCCCACCTCTCCAAACACAAGTTCAACTATGTGTGACTTGTCTCAATGTAAGCAGGTTCACCAGATCTATGTCTGTGGCAGTCCTTTCATGTGCCTCCATTATAGTGACACTGCTTCAATTTCGTGTGACTTATCTCAAAATAAAATAGGCCCTATATCAGGGTTCCCTAGTTCCAGTCCTGGAGGTCCAGAATCCAGCACAATTTGCATATTCCCATGTTCAAACATCTCAATAAGTGTTACCAGGTTTAGTGTGTTTGAATCCTGCCCTAGATCATCACCTACACAATGTTCCTGGGAAGTCTGAAAAAGATCCATCAAATACTTTTGGGGTTACTGTATTCACAAGATCAAATGTCTTCTACAGCTGCTCTTTCCTTAATTTGTTGCCACCCAGTACTGCTGCTTCAATTTTGGTGTGATTTGTCTTGAAATCAGAGGTAGATTTTCATCCATATGTACTTGTGGAGTGATAATAAGATCCATGTCAAATTTTTCCAGTTACTACATTCACAGGATCAAGTGTCTTCTGCAGTCACCCTTCCCTTTGGTACCACAAAGCGGTGTTGCTTCAGGTTTGGTGCAATTTCTCTCAAAATTGTATCTTCACCCATGCAATGTGTCTGCAAAGTTTGAAATATTCTTTTTGAATTACAGCACTAATAAGATAAGCTTCTACAGAGGACTGATCCTAAAACCACAAGTTTTCCTTCATAAGGTCCCCGTATTGGTTTAGATTATTGTGGCCTTACCCCTTTGGACACAGACTGACAGAGCAACTGCATCCAGATGGCCATGTCCTGCTCATTTTCTGCACTGAGCTGCAGTGCGGGGTGCTCTGTCAGGATAATCTGGAAAGCATGTGGACGCTCAGTAGAGTGGGAGCGCCTGCAGCCGCCACAGTGCTCCCCCCTACAGGAAGACCGAGGGAAGAACAGGAGAAGGATTTACTTCTGACCTTTTCCTTAGCCAGACATTTTCAGACTGCCAGGTAATAAAGACAAAGCACATGGAAGGGAAATAAAGCATACTGAAGCGATGAAGTTACAGGGGAGACAGGCACTGTCATACATCCAACTGTCTGTCCTTCCATACACACACACACACACACACACACACACACACACACACACACACAGGGTGGTGGGGAGTAAAGGACAGAGCCATAATGTATTTACCCCATGGTGATTGACAAAAGTGGCGTTACATCTGTTCTCTCTGCGTACTGGTACAAAGTCCCATTGCTGTCCAAGCAGAAGAATCAGTATGAATATTGTCAGTCAGCAACTGTTGATTATGACACGTTTCAGCAATGGCAGCCAAGCAGAGGTACAGCGATACTGCATCCTGCAGGTCTTTACAAGCAGTGCAGCCTATAGCTACTGAAGTCAGTATGAACCATTACAACAAATGAAAGGATATATAAGATTAAATATATTACAATTTTAGGAACACATGCAGAAGCTGGTAACCATTCCCTTGACATAGGGAATCATACGTTTGATTTGTAAACGTAAGAGAAATTACCAAAAAAATGCATCAATACAAATCCAAATATTGAAGTAAGCTTATGTTGAACAAATGTTACTTTCAATTATGATTTCGACTTCCAACGATTATTAAAACAAAATAATCAAGATGAAACAATTATTGTGCTGTATTTCATTTCACAGTGATGCTCTCGTTTTGTCTTGTTATAAATCCACAGCACCCCTTTCCAGCTCCTTTTTATTTGTTTCTCCACTGAATTAGATTTAGAGTTCAAGGAAATCCAGTGTTTAAAAAATAAATACATTTGAAGTTCAATGAAATGAACAGTGATCTCAATACTGACCAAAATAATCGTGATGATGATTTTTTGCCATACTGAATATATATTACTAAAACCAATTGAGAGTATCATATGCAAAACAATATGGCGAACATAAAGTACTGAAATATGCAGGACCATATGGATGAGGCCAAAAGAAAAACCTGCCTGAGCACCATGTAACAGCTCTTCCACTGCTCCTTGCCAAGGTATGTGGTTCCTGCAAGATATAGCAGGGGTCCTTCCTTGGAGTCAGAGTGGCCGCAGGAAGCTGACTGGTTGGACACAGTCATATCCATTGGGTCCTCCCAGTGTACCAAGGCATACAGGTGGATAGAGACTGCAGAGACCTGTACAGCACAACCAGAGGTTGAATCAGTAAACCGAACAAAATAATCAGGACATAAAAGCAGAAAAAGCAACATTCATTAATGCTCCCAAATAACCCCAGAGCATGCAGATGGTGTGTAATCAAAGATGTAAGCACTCCCAGACCTGGAGAAGCAATCCAGCCCAGTGATTCTACAACTGTGACTCATGGATTTTTCATTCTTTGCTGAATTATATACCTTCCCATGATTTGTCCAACACCATATCTGTTTAAACATTATTACTTTCAATATTGGTAATTACTGAATTTTGTTTCAGCATTTTCATTTATGGTTAACAACCATTTGTTTGTCAGTGAGTTTAGCCCTTGGTGTCAGTGAGTCATCATGGCCAGCAGGTGAATCAAATAGGCAAAATGTCTGATTGAAACAATTTTTTTAGTCAATTAAGATGATTATAAATAGGTGCAAAGAGTAGCGTGTCTTTGCAATCCTAAGCCACAGTGCATGTGCATGTACTTCTGCTCCTGCGAGAGTGGGACAGACGGAGACGGGTGCAGAGACAGTGAGAGAAGACAGACAACCAAGAATACTCTGCTCTCAAATACTTTGCCTCAATTGACGGATATTGAATGCATCGCACATTTTATGGTGGACTGTGAAACGCTAATCTTTCTGTGCCGTCTCCTGGCTGAACGACTGTCCGGCTGCAACAGCCACTCAAATTTCTTGCAGGTCCTCATGATAGTGACAAGCACTTTGTTCATCATGGCAACCAGATCTTTCCAGTGGGTGGTCTGTGATGTAGTGCACATTTCCCCGTCTTCTGTGTCAAGGCAATGCTGCCCCACATCAGTGCCTTTATCAAATTTCCTGACACACAAGAGCACATGAGGAGAATAAAGGGAACTTTTTATTGGGCGGCTATTTCCATAAATGTCTTCCGGGCCACAGACTGAACACATGTTGCCATAAAGGCACCTGCTGAAAATGAACAGGTGCACAGAAACAGGAAACGGCAACAAAGCATTAATGTCCCAGTCATTTGTGACTCAGACAGACACAGTGAGTCAGACTGAGTGTCTGAGCCAAATTTTCAGACTCAGCCCGTGATTCATTTATTCTGGCAATTCCACCTTGCCGCAAAGACTGGCAGAACTACCTGACCATAATACCTGACTAACTGGTAACCATTCTACGCTTAACTGGGTAGATGTGCGGGTTTGTAATGGCAGTAACTAGCAATTGGTTTGGAATAATACATCGCAGCCTACGCTGTAGCGTATAAGCTTCTTTGGATTATGGCAGTGCCTTATTAATAATAATAATAATAATAATAATAATAATAATTATTATTATTATTATTATTATTATTATTATTATTATTATTATTATATTTTACCAGCAATCCATTCTAAACTTTCAGTCCATGCTACTAATATCACTAACATTTACACCACAAATATTGGTTACGCATATTTGGTCTTTTACAGAATTGTTTTGAACAGAGCGGGGAAAAAAGCACAAGACCAAAAAGCACATGGATTCACTAATAAAAACATAAGCGTAATTTGCATAACATTTATTAAGCAGTTGCTTTTATCCAAAGTGACGTACATTTTGATAAAGTTTTATTGTAGGATTTCTGTGGATTTTAATTTGAGTCACACAGTAAATTAAAAAGGTCGTGTTCCATGTTTTCCTGTTTGCCAAACACACTAAAGGTGTAACCCTCTCCTTACGTGACGAATAAGTGCTGTAGCACCTTCTTTTTCGGGTTACACCCTGGGGGCGTCACCGTAGTGCCGACAGGAGAATATGCAAAAAGCACCCAATGGGAGATAATGGCCCTTAGAGTACAAACATATCTGCACAAACCTGGAGAAAAGCAACCTTTACTATTCATGAGTACAGGAAAAGGAACGCAGGCTTGGAAAAGGAACGGCAAAAAGTTTTTTGATCAACATACTCTTGTTTGGCTTTGCAAAAAAAAAAGAAGCCTTGGAATTTAATTTCTGCTGGAAAACATTAAGATTAATATCTACAGCTGCACTTGCTTGAATTTCCTTTCACTGGTCACTTTCATCCAAAGCATGTACAAGTGAGGCAGATAATCGATGCTAAATTTTTGGCCATGCATACACTATCTTTGCATCATAATTTATCTAATATGAAACTATTCATTTAGATTCAGCTAATTACCAGAAATGCACTAAATATTAATATATCCATTCTGTAATTAGATATTATTTAGTTTACTGTAAATGACAACTATTTTCAAATTTACAGCCCCCATGATCCTGAATAGAATACGCGGTTTTGGAAAATGGATGGATGTTCCTTACTTCACATTTATTACTTTGAATTGGAAAAAATCTTATATTTGTGTTGCATAAAAACTTCATATGACGTTGCCTAACCCGTAATCTAAATCAGCTTATGCTGTGGGTACAACCATTTACCACTTACTAGACTGGGAAATATGATATTATCAGTAATCAACTGCATCAGAAAAGAAACCCAGTGTCAATATCTGACCGTGACTAACTGGTGAATATCGCATTAAATCAGGAAAGTAGGCTTAGGCTACAACAAAGCAGAACAACAAGAATTCATGATATGGCTTTCAGATCAGCCTTCTAGCCAATGTTTCCCCCCGATGGCACACAGATTTTTAGATCTTGTCCAGCCCCTACTACCTACCCTTCCCCAATCTAAAATTTTAACATTTTGGTATTTCCAAAACTCAGGTACAATGTTATTGTGCATCATTACAATTTCAGCTTAAACAGAAACATAATTCTCACTACATTCTAAATTTATCAATGCCACATCAATCTAAATTTATGAAACCACCTTTATAAAGTGAAGTTTAATCCTTTTCTGCCCGATTTGGTTATTTAGGACATGCAATAGATTTTACCAATGCCACAGACAGCTCTGGAAATTTTACATGTACTTACTATCATGAGAAAATGATGAATAAAGACAGACAGACAACCCACCTCGCACTGTGATTCCTGGGACACAAATTTAGTAACGGCCAGCTTCTCCATGGTGGCATCCGCTAGGACGGCGGGATACGGTGGTTCCCCGCAGCCCTTTATCATGGCAGACCTCAGGACGCCCAGAAACCAGCTACAAGACAGTGTTTGGGATGGATGGCATGAGAAGATTAAAATGTATAGCAAAACAGATTCAAGTGTCCAATGTCCAACTCACACAGTAAGTGAAGCATCTGCAGTGTCCAGGAGGAACTGGCGTCTTCGATTGGTACAGACGAGTGTGAAGGTCTGCTGATCCAGCCCCACCTGACACACATGGGTAGCACTCTCAACTTGGGCACGAATGCGAAACATGTCACTTTAACGCCTGATAAAAAGAAAGGTCTATTTTTTGCGCTTATTTGGTGTGACACGCAGGCAACACAGAGAAAGTTGACTCACAGAGATATAATCCAGCTCACTGTAAGACACAGCCTCCTCCACCGTATAGGGCTTCTCGGCCGCACCTGAGACGGAGCACAGGCATCACGTTCACATTGAGCAGTGACTGTTTCAGTGGTAACTTCCCTATAAAGGTGTAAGAGCCAGAAACACTCAGCATCACATCACTCACCACCAACTGGAAATCTTAAGCGGTGATAATCTCTCACTGCATGCAGTGATTCCCTCGCTCCTCTCTCTGGAGCGTGGATTAATGCTTACTGATATATCGAGCTGATATTTGGATTTAAATTTTTTTTTTTTGATATTGCCATCAGCTGACAGTCACACATATTGGCGGTAACAGGACAACATCGTATATGTGGTGATAAACCCCATTTAAAAAAAAAAAAACACACACACACAGTTCTGACCTCTGGAACGTATGTGTAATTCACATGCCAAATTTAATCTAAATTAAAAATGCAAAGACAATGTTGAATTAAAATGGAATGACCTTGGATGCTTAATTCCAAATGAGGGTTTAATGGGTTATCCTGCAAAAAGTCACAGCCAAGAACATACACTACCGTTCAAAAGTTTAGAATCACTGAGAATTCCATTAAAATAACATTAAATTGATCAAAAATACAGTCTATATATTATTAATGTTGTAAATGATTATTATAAATAGAAAAGGCTGATTTGTAATGCAGTTTCTACATTACTGCACGAAGGCCCTTTTTCAGCAACCATCACGCCGTTGCTTCGATTACACAACATGTAAGCCATTCCCAAGTTAATTCATAATTAGAAAACCCTTGTGCAATTATGTTAGCACTGTTTAAAGAAGCAATATAACTGGCCTTCTTTGGGCGTCATTTGTGGGTTCATTTATTCTTAAAATGGTCACAAAGCTTTCTTCAGAATTCCTCTATTTTTGTTTTGAGAAAAGAAGGTTTTTCCATGTAAGAAATTGCTAAGAAACTGAAGCTATCATACAAAAGTTATGTGCCACTCCCCTCACAAGCAGGGCAAACTGGTTTAAATGGGGACAGAAAGAGAACCGGTAGGTAGGTCCCAGTGCACAACTGCAGAAGGATAAAAACATGAGTCTCTAGTTTGAGAAGTAGATGCCTCACAAATCCTAAGCAGATGTATTATTATTTATCTATTATTTAATACAACACCAGTCACATCTGAAGAAGCAACTCTGGGATGATGAACGTTAAGGAAGAACTTCAAGAAAAAGCCACGTCTAAGACTGACCAAAGAAAGGAAAAGATTAAAATGGGCAAAAACACACAGAAACTGGATGTAGGATGATTTGAAAGGCAGTTACTGAATTTCAACCCTGTTCAACTGTTATGGGAGCAGCTTGCCCGTATGGTACGAAAGAAGGGCCCATCAAGTCAGTCCCACTAGAGGGAGGTGAAATTTCTGCATATTACCTCAAGAAACTGACAGCTAGAATGCCAAAGGTCTGCAAGGATGTGATTCTTTGATGAAAGCAAAGTCTGAAGCACAAAATCATTATTTCTAACCTTGTCGATGTCTTGCTTATATTTTCAATTAATTTTGCAACTTATTTGATGAATAAAAATGAGTTCTCATGGGAAATGCGAAATTTTCTGAGCAATTCCAAACTATTGAATGGTTGTGTATACACACCAGTATTTGTTGAAGAAATCAGAGGCACCTTTCAAAGGGAGTCCACTATAATGCCAAAGTCCAAACACACATAAGAATGACATCCAAGCATGTACATACATGCAAAGCCCCAGACACACCTGCTACAAATGTGACCCAATCTTCTGGAATGCTGGAAATCGCTCCACCCAAAGCTGGCCAATCATTCTCAAAGTGACAAGATGGTTTCATAATATCATGTTTTTATTGTGCTGTGCTGAACTTTCTGATGTGTCTGGAAAGCCAAATAAATATTCCCCCTTTATTTGAGGAAAAGTGTATTTTAATAAAAACAAACCTGTCTGCAGTGAAACAACAACAAGAGACGAACTCAGGCAACCTTGCCTGCATAAGGCTTCAAAATGGCTGCCTCGCCTTTAGACTTCCTTAGGATGGCTAACATAATGGCCTTTGCTCTTTCAAAATGTCTGCACAAGCATAAACCCCATGTTCCATCAACAGAACTAGACCTCAGGAATCAAATGCATGCTTTCCCAGCACCACTAATCAGCAGAGTAAAACCACACCTAGGGCCAGCTATCATAGATTTCTCAGCTATCAACACCAGCTTTGCTGGCTCACAAAAATCACGACACATTTAGTACAAGGAGAGAGCCACCATACCTACACTGTATGCAGGGATGAAACAGATCGCTGATAAATGAAATACTTCAATTAGCTTCCAAAACTGCACTGAATATGGTGGCTTTGAAGTCTGCACTCACCTTTACGGAGCAGGTAGATGTAACAGTCAGTCAGCAGCAGGTAGAGAGGCTGCAAATCACCCTCCATGTGGCCTGTGCTCATCTTCACCATCTGGAAGGAGAACCAGAGTGGAGGACATCATTCCTGTCACACCCAACTGATGAGGAAACCAAGCATCACTGAAACTTGAGATCGGACACAGAAACCGCAGCTCACCTTGAACAGCTGCTCTTCATTCTCCCTGAAGACGTGAATCATTAGCAGCAACAGGTGGTTGTTATCTACCCTAGAAGACGGTCACCGTGGTCAGCTCCAGCTGCTTGTGTGCTTTTCAATCCATAGCACAGCCACCCAAGCCAGACTCAGACTAGTGGCAGCCCCCAGGTTGAGAACGTCCCACTTACGGACGACTTGTATGTACGAACAAATTGCCATAATGCCATAAAATTCAGTTAAAGTTAATGCTTCGAAATAACAAACCCACGCATGCTATGTAGATTGCACAGCATCAGTGGGTTGTCGGCTTAAGGTGCAATAACGTAGTTACTTTTGTTATTGTGTATTATTATTATTATTATTATTAATTATTATTATGTACTTTAGTATGCTTTTTCTGATTTACATACAAATTCAACTCAAAGGTAGAATTGTGGAACAGATCTCATTTGTAGCCTGGAGACTGCCTGTATTCTGCAGTTTATAAAGCTACTGAGCTGCTCATCAGTCGCTGTGTAATGCTGAAAGTAAAATCCAACCTGAACTCCGCAGGATGACTGCAGTCCAGGGGGCTGGCCCCATGCACCTCCTCGTCTTCCTCTTCATTACCGACAGCAGAACCTGCCTCCGCAGCCAGTGGACATGCTTGCTCCTGGTCCACCTTTGATGATACAGCTGAAGTGACATCATTAGCTTTCGTTTCTGCTCCTTCATCCTCATCCTCATGCTCATCCTCATGGCCGCCGTGAGCAGCTTCTTGCTGCCCATTCTCTGTAGAGTCATACAGGCTGCCGTCTGGGCTAGCAGGGTCTAGACTGTGGGGGGCAAAGTGGTAGAAATCTGCAGGGGCTGGGAGCAGGAAGCCAGCGTTGGGGACCTGGGATCTGTCAGGGGCGTCGACCTCCGTGCCTCCGGGACACAACTGCTGCCCGTTGGGGACTCTGCCTGCCCTGCCCCCTGTCCCACCAGCCTGGCTGTCTAGAGGTCCATTCAGCCGGTCCACCACTGCCTGTAGCGGCTGTCCCACACTCTCCATGGAGGTGTCTGACATTTCTGGAACCTGAAGCAGGCTTTCGGCCTCCTCCTCCTCAGAACCCTGATGTTTGGGTCTCATCTCCTCATTCCCCTCTTGTATGCCTCGGTTAATGTCATTGTTCAATGGAATGTTGTCCTGGGTGGTCACAGTGTCCAAGCCTCCCTTTGCACGGCGCTTCTTTCCTGGCTTTTTGCGACGGCCCACTCTGATGAATCACACGACATTAATGGGACCGCTCCCATGCACCAGTAGCAGTGGCAACATGCAAATGAACAACCATGAACAACTGACCTGATGACCTCTAGGTCTGTGCCCACACCCTCCGTCTCCCCTTTAGTTGTGGTATCCTCCGGACAGGATACTTGCACAGAAATGACAGTGACTGAGGGGCTGGTGCTGGGCTCCTCGTTGAATGGGTTGTAGCGAAACGTAGGGCTGCGTGGGACGACTTCCCCTGGCCCAGTCCCTGTGCACAGCGGAGTGCTGATGAATGTTTGGGGATCTGATGCACCGGAGCGAGGGCAGCTGGCCGGATCAGTCAGGTCTCCTTCTGCAAGAAAGGAGGGAAATGCCAACCCCGATATCGCTATAGTGAATGCCAAGGAAGCAAACAAGACCACACTAGTGTCCACAGACAGTAACAGAGGAGACACAACAGAAAGCACAGCCACATACACCTACTCACCAAGAAAGGCTGTGCCTACTAATCAGCTACAGACACAGACTGTCAGGCATAAGGCTGGGCGATATAATGGTAAAATATCGTATCGTGATTATGAACATTCATACCGTCATCAGTTTGAGTAACGTGACTAGTGTGTAGGCTATATCACATTTTTTCTTGAATAATTGACAATTATAATGTAGTATTTTTACACAAATTCCATTAAGGTATGAGTCTGTTGTTGGCATAATTTATCATAAAACCTATCGCAGGCTCCATAGTAAATTAGTAAAACTATTTGGTTATCATAATCAGGAAAATTCAATTTGATTTTTTATTAAAATTAGATATGATAAAATATTTTGCCATATGGCCCAGCCTTAGTTAGGCATGCACAAAACGACATCTTCATTAAAGAATTGTGGGCAACTAGAAAATCCCAGTGTCCTCCTGTCCTGTTTGTGAATCCAGCCACTGTTACTACAGAAAGATAGTGATACTGTATGTGGAGGAATCTGCGCTAAGACAGACGGATGACACCTCCCCCAGAAGGCTCCTGGTAAACAACCCCACACCAAGAAATAAAATTAAATATAAAAAACACATTTCAGTAACGACACCAGAGTTGGCAGTGTGGGCCAGGGGGCAGCATAGTTGCCTGGAATCTCCAGGATTGGGGCGGGTCAAATCCCACCCATGTGACATGTAGCTTTGCACGTCATCTATGTGACATGTAGCTTTGCATGTCATCTATGTGACATGTAGCTTTGCACTGTTCAAAAACATGCAGGGAGCCAGAATGGCCTCTCTACATGGCATGCATGCATGTATGCACACTATAATAGACTGAGATCCAATGCAGGGTGTTTCCCTGCCCTGCGATTCCTGAGAGAGGCTCTCTCTTACCCTGTACTGGATAAGCAATTAGAAAATGTATGAGCATCAGTCATGACTAGTATTTAAATTTTTAGCGCAATGGCTCCAAAAATGAAAAACCTACCAGTTGGTAACATTGTAAAGATGTTATATTATTTTACAATAAATATTCCAACCAGTTCATAAGCTTAATATAGAAACATACACACTTAAATGTAAAATACAGGGGTAATTTATGATAAATTCATAAAATAATTTTGTTGCATCTATGTTGTTTCCGAATTAGAGGGATGTCCGATTCTGGGGCAAACACAGCTTACACACGGCCTGCCTTGGCAAGGATGACCGAAAATGTGTAAATGTTAGAACATGCAGGTTTATACAGGTGCATAGCGGTTAATTGGGTGAAGCTGGGAAAATAAACAGGAAAGTGCATGGGGGGGGGTAACCATTTCCCACCTTCCCATTCTGCATTTGGTACTGACTGCAACACAGGGAAGATGTCACCGAAATCATAATCTAAAAAAAGGAGGGATGAGACATTAGGTGGAAATGTATGACCAGAGTGACTAAGGAAGAACAGAAGATAAACAAGAAATATACTGGTATGACAAAATTAGCATGAAAGGTTACTACACATAAATCTGATAACTATCTGCATTACTACAAATCAGGCAGGCCCAAATACCTAAATTGGATATTCATTAACATGAACCTTCACAACATAGTGCACTCTCTTCAGTGTGAGACAGAACACTGGTGGTTCCTTCACCAATTGGCTGTGTTACTTAACAGGTGATCAAAATTTCACCTACATTTTTTGCATACAAATTTAACGTGAACTGCTTGGTCATCTATCTGGCCTGCATTCCATACCCTCACTGGAGGGGGCTATGGCGCTGTCATTCCATACCCTCACTGGAGGGGGCTATGGCGCTGTCATTCCATACCCTCACTGGAGGGGGCTATGGCGCTGTGATTCCATACCCTCACTGGAGGGGGCAATGGCGCTGTCATCCCACTCCAGGTTGGTAGAGGTCAGAGACGTGAAGGAGTGCAGGGACAGGCTATCTGAACTGGGCAGCCTCTCTTCGAAGTCCAGCAGGTTCTGCGGCTTGTAGTACTCTGGCATGTAAGGGGCCACATCGAGGTATGGAACGTCCTGCTCAAGAAAGAGGAGCGGGAAATTTAAGGGGAGTCACTGCACAGTGCAGCTATTTGCCAAACCCATGATGCTGTCCAAATCAAAAATGGTTTCACTAAACTACAGAATTACAGCAAAATTATCCCAGATTATAGCTTCCTATTTCATTTAACCATTTAAAATTGAGGGGCACTGCAAACTCTTACCATTTCCTTTAACTTTAATTGGCAAAGTGACTCGCAAACAATAATACCATCTTACAATATTACAGACAATATGAATAAATTCATTAATGAAAAAACTGAACTGTATGTTAAGATGCATATCTAGCATTTTCTATCTAGTTCTACTCACTTAATTCAGAGTGCCAAGAAAAAACATTCTGTACCAAGATGCATTATATTGCCAAAAGTATTGGGACACCTGCCTTTACACACACACATGAACTTTAATGACGTATGGAGCTGGCCCGCCCTTTGCAGTTATAACAGCTTCAACTCTTCTGGGAAGGCTGTCCACAAGGTTTAAGAATTTTTGATCATTCTTCCAGGAGAGCATTTGTGAGGTCAGACACTGATGTTGGACGTGAAGGCCTGGCTCACAGTCTCCACTCTAATTCATCCCAAAGGTGTTCTATTGGGTTGAGGTCAGGGCTCTTTACAGGCCAGTAAAGTTCCACCACACAAGACTCGCTCATCCATGTCCTTATGGACCTCGCTTTGTGCACCGGTGCACAGTCATGTTGGAACAGAAAGGGACCATCCCATAAATGTTCACACAAAGTTGGGAGCATGAAATTGTCCAAAATGGCTTCGAATGCTGCAGCATTAAAAGTTCCTTTCACTAGAACTAAGGGGCCAAGCCCAACCCATGAAAAACAACCCCACACCATAATACCCCTTCCAACTTTACACTTAGCACAATGCAGTCAGGCAAGGACCATTCTCCTGGTACCCCTCAAACCCAGACTCATCCACTCATAGCACTTGGTGATGTAAGGCTTGGATGCAGCTGCTCTGCCATGGAAACCCATTCCATGAAGTTCTCTATTCACTGTTCTTGAGCTAATCTGAAGGCCACACGAAGTTTGGAGCTCTGTAGCTATTGACTCTGCAGACAGTTGGCGAATTCTGCTAACTGTGCGCCTCAGCATGCGTTGTCACCGCTCTGTGATTTTACGTGGCGCCACCTATGATGATTTTATCCTGGTGATTTTATTCACCAGAGGCTATGGAAGTGACTGGAACACCTTAATTCAATGATTTGGAGGGGTGTCCCGATACTTTTGGCAATATGGTGTATATAACCAGCCACCTAAGAAGTTCATCATCTATGTTGTTTACATGGTAAAGACTTAAAAGCTTTAAACTGACATCTTTATACTCGTAACCAGAAGCATGATAACAAAAAAAAAAATCAAAATATCATACCGATACAATTAAAAAGCTGTTTATCATCACAATAAGCCTGTTAATAAGGAGAAAACCCCAAACAAAAATAATTATAATAAAGTCTGATTGCACACAATATACAGTACAGTACATGTGAAATATTAAGCGCACTATTAAAATCACAATGATCACAAAAAATAAAATCCTTAAGTGAGATCTTTCTCACTATAAATCCTTCACACCTCCCAAACTGGGAGCTTCAAATCCACCTCCACCTTTGCATGCAAAGTTTGCATTTCTGCGTGTGTGCGTGTGTGTGTATGTCTCTTCCAGCAACATAAAAACATGCAAGTGGCCTATTTGCATGATCTAAATCAGGGGTGGGCAATCTTATCCGCAAAGGGCCGGTGTGTATGCAGGTTTTTGGTATAACCTTTAGGTCAGCTGTTCAAACCCAGGTGTGAGGACTCTTCAGCCAATCAGTCCTCTAATTAGTGACCTAATTAGAGAGTTGAAGTGAAAACCTGCACACACACCAGCCGTTTGCGGAGAAGATTGCCCACCCCTGATCTAAATGATACGAAGTATCAGTGATGAGAACTGCAGTCTGGCTGTTATCTGTTGTAATAAATGCTTTGAGGTCATTTTCATTAGAGTGAAGCAAACTATACTGATGTCTTTAACCGGGCACCAAACATCCATCTGCCACCTGTAATTCAGTACGGGGGAGCAGGGAGAGCAGAAGCCTATCACAGGCAGCACAGGGTACATTCAGAAGGTGACAACATGACGATAACATCCAAACCCCATACACATGGGATTCAAACCCCCGACCCTGCCGGTGTGAGCAGCAGTGCTACCTACTGAACCATAAACTCAAACAAAAAACCTGATTTACAAACCCAGTAGAATAGTGGACAGGTGATAACAGCTGAGTACATGCAGCACATGAACCCGGCAGAGAGGGAGGAAAATAAGTATTAACATACCAGCTCCAAGTCGAAGCGGATGAACTCCAGTCCTGACACTAGGGTGAGGAAGAGGGCGAGGTGATCATGACTGCATACCAAGGCATGTCTGAAAGAGACAGACAGACACACACACACACGTACATTCATATCTTTTTGGATATCCATCCATTCATTTCTATGGACAAAACCCAAATCCCAACAATGACCCCATATCCAGCCATAACTTTAACCATAAGTAACCAAACAAAGTACAAGACTTTTGGCATTTTCGATTGCTGTCACAGATTTTTATAAAATTTAGTTTCCCCTTGTGTGGACCAGAAAAATGGTTCATACATTATCAAAATAACAGGTCCTTAATCACATTAAATCTGGTCCCCACAATGTAATATATCCATAACCAACCAACCAACCAACCAACCAACCTACCCACCCACCCATCCACACACACACACACACACACACACACACTACCCCATTCAAAATCATTCCCTTTCAATTATTTATACATTGGCTTTATGTTTTGCCAAGGTCTTCAAGGTCCTCAAAGAGTTGCGGGTCTTTGAAAAAAGCATTTGGTAAAATACTTTTCCAGCTAATGCTACTGGGCTTAATTTCTCCTTTTTCATACCAGATACTATAAAGATAGTGTGTGTTCATAATATAAAAAATTAAATTATGCTAAAAACTAACAATATCTCCTACAGAACCTGTTAACTCAGAACCGATGAGAACTGTAATCACACTCCAGCACCAATTTAATACAAATGAAACAATCTGGATTAAAAAATGTTACATCCATCTTTGAACGAGGGAGCAGGAAGATCTGGGGTCAATTCCAGGAAGCCAAGAGCTCACTGCTGAGAAGCAGTCTGACAGGATGCCAGGGCATTTTCTTAGCATGACACATGACACATTCACAATTCAGTAGGTGAACATAAAAATTAACTTGAGTGATCATACTACAAACTCTTCCAGGATAATGCAGATTATGTTATGTCCTCCCATGAACACTCTCTTTCACAGTATTTACTTTTAATAACTCATGATCATCAATCCCAGCATGTGCAGGAGATGGCTGTAGATCTTTAGCTGCTGGTCCAGCTTTCTTTGCCATCTCCTTAATCATTGTTCATTAGGTCCTTGTGCCCCCCCAAGCTTCTGACATCCTATTCAGCCAGTATAATGCTAGTATAATTATTTTTTTAATTATTATTCACTAATTAACATTTATAGAAATACCAGATCACATTTCAGGTACAAAGTACATAAACTGATTATCAGCATATATAAATATATATAAACAGATACGCAGGTACGCAGACAACTGTACACAGAAATAATCACAATAAATGTGCTGTAATCATTATACCAGTGGAGAAAGTTAAGGCTGGAATTACACTGCCAATTGGGTAAGGAAAGGGTGAAGCAACATAGCTGAGATTGCGGCATGCATATCATCTCCTGTATACTGTCATCTCTGCAGATTCTGTAGCTCAAACTCCAAGAATTCTAGAAGATTACATAGAAATTCAGGGGTACATACACAGAAGCAAACCCCCCCCCCCCCAAATAATGGGGCTCCCCCACCATACATCACGTGTGGAATGAGGGTTTGGCTGCTGATATGCAGCGTTTGGTTTCCTCATAACATTTTGTCTCATCAGTAATCGGAACACTGCCCCAGCAGCAATTCGGAATATGCAGATATGGCAAACTTAAAACAAATCTCCAACCTCAGTGGTTTACTGTGTGCCTTCCCTTGCTAGGCTAAACAACAGATTCGGTCTTTCACTGGCTAAATTAAAACAAAGATTTTCCCTCTCTGCTATTCCAAAGGAACCCATGTAAACAAAGTCATACATACTAAGTTCATCTCAATCCCCTATGTTTTATATATTGGTATGACTGATATTATTTTGAAGTATGACTGCCATGTCAAGCATGCAGTCTTTTAACCACCTGCTCCCTTCTGTAAGCAGCGCAGCACTTGCAGTTGCCTTACTTGAAATAGTACTTTTGCAGCAGTGCCTGGTTCTCCTGGAACAGACGGAGGTAACTCTCCAGCGAGCTCTCACTCAGTGCCAGGTACAGCCATGCCCGGCCTGCACACAAACCAGACACAACTGCTTACTAAGGCATGCACTCAAGCTGTGTCACTGGAAACCGCCTTTCAAGAAGCAATACTATGGGCACAAAAAAAAAATTAAAGTCTTCATGAACGTTTTTCCCTTGTTAGGGTCTGATGGATATCATGTGGGAGAGCAAAAGAAGACTATTTACGTGAAAGCAATACATTTTCTATAGTCTGTCTCTACAGTGTCTGTCAGCACAAGCTGTGCTAATACATACAGTTGCTGTCTAAAGAATTTCTGATAGTGGCAGGGTGTGTGCATGCAAAAACGTGTCATTGTTGACAGAGATGGATAGTTCAGGTCAAAAAAGTAAAAATTTAGACCAAGATTTTGTTTCAACCAACCAGTTAAAGTTACAGAGTATAAAGAGTCATGGTCAGGGAGTAGCTAACTGGCTGGGTGAAATAACTGCAAGTAATATACTCTGATTATTCAGGGTACATGAACAGTGGCCTATTAGGGCCTGAATTAACAACCTCCTGAATAGAGTAATAAAGCCTGACCTTGTAACCACCTGGCCGTTTAACAGAAGTTCTACTCACTGCGGCCGAGGTTGGTGGCGATGTGCTGGAGCTCCTCAATCTGGTGAACGGCTTCCCGACGAGTGAAGTGCACAACTAGAACCCAATAACCCAAGGAGATGTCTTGAAGCCTAGAAGAGATGCAAGAAGGAGGAGGTGTTGAACCCAAACATGACCTTCACAGGTAGTTTATACCCCAACTACAACAAACTGGGTACATGTAAATACTCATATGCAAATACGCTGACATACCCATAGAGCAGAGCATGGTCCAGATGCTCGCACAGACGCTGCAGGACACGGTCATGATTCCGGATGGCTGGTGTCTCGTCCTCACAGGCAGCAAAGTAACTCTGCAGCTACAGATGGAAAATTTCCTAGTTAAACCTTAGCATCCTCCATTACTAAACCACGTTCCCCACAAATGCAGCCTAAAGCAAAGTATTTCTGTACACAATTAATGTTTTAACAATTCTAAATAAGCATGCTGGTCTACTATAAAATAATATTTCTTTGGTGACCAATTTTATCGTAATTGCGAAATTATTTTGAATATAACCAATATTATAATAGATACATCAGATGATTATAATAGAGATACATCAGGCCAGTGCAGCCACATGTATAGTTAATTACGTCAATATAAGACAACACACTACATCACAGAGAAAAACATAAAGCAGGAATTAAACAAGGATCACCAGTCTGAATGGGTGACCTAATCCAAATTTCAAGCAGCTGATTATCATGTGACCTGATGGCCCTCTACTGGAAAAATGGAAGAAAAAAAAAATGGGGAAAGACTGTCACCTGTCTGTCATTTGTCAATCACAAGAGGAACAAGAAAATCGATGAGCAAAATAAATAGATTAAAAAACTACAGAAACTACTTTAGATAACGAAACAGGACCGCGCTATAACACCTGCTCAAGAGTATGTAAGAGGAGATTATGAAAAGCTGTTAAAACGTGGGGTGAAAGGAATGTTATAGACGTTAATTGCATGAAAATCAGTGCACAACACTCAGTTATCCAATATCCAGTAATTATCCTTAGTCACGCAGAATGTAACATAAGCACGTGAGGAAATGTAATACTAAAGCCTTTATAACTATAGAATGACCTTAACAATCCTGACTAACACTATCACCGTTGATACACCAACATGGAGAAATTTCTGCCAATTTTCCAATACTATATTATCTCATAAGCCTCTGCATAAACCTAGACGACGACTTAATGCCAGTTTAACAGTGTCTGTCCAGATTATGCCGAAGAGTTGTTACCTACCTTCTTCACGGACAGGGAAATATTCTCCAGGATCCGGTCTATAACTCTGGGTTGATCCATGAGCCTTTGTCCCCTTCCTTGCCTACAGATTTCAGATACTCTCCAGTAGGACTATCGTTTGTTATCCACTATGCCTCAAATTATGAAAAGGGTTGTTATAAGTATTTTACAGGAAAGACTTTTCCCATCGAGCTGATCTTTTCAATATTACACCTTTAAAAGCACAATAAACATGCACACGAGCGAGTCATGTTACTTAAAAATAGGGGAACTATGGGGAAAAAAAGATTTGGCAAAATGAAGCGGTTCTAGGAGTGCATGGGGAAACATTAAAACTCAGCTGCAACCTAACTAACCTAGTTAATGAAGATTCCTTTACATAGTTTATCACCATTAAGTAGCACAGAGGTAACTAATCACAATTATTGTAATAAACAGTTTAAAATAAAGTAGCTACCAAATGCGAGCCAACTGCATATTACCATGCGAATTTCTTCGAATGAAGAAAATGCTTCTGGAAACTGTGGTCATTTCAAATTACGGATACTGAAACTAGCTGTCAAACGTGGTTCTGCTATCTAACATTTAATCTGAAACGACTGTTTATCTGAAGTTAACGCCGTTCTTGCTTAACAACGATCTATGCGGAAAACTGTCATAATTCGTAAAACGAGACATCCAGGCAACTCAATGTTCAAACTTTTGGAGAAAAAATCTACCAAACCTGTGAGCTGTACGGTTTCAACATCGCAGATTACTTATGTTATGCTTTGTCACAGTATGCCGCTATTTAAAACTGAAAGACTGAACATATTATCAAAATATTCCTCTTCGATATTATTTATACTACATTCTTACTAAACAACGATGTAACATTGTCTAAACACTCAGCTGTTTCGTTACAATGAAATACATCTAGTATCTTCGATTCTTTGCTTAAAAGTAGACTGTTTTCAGGCTTCTTGTCGGGAGTCTATCTGCAACCGACAGCTAACTCATATCATACGGACGTGTTTCTATTAATTGATAAAATCGCCACACATACTACAACGACAAATCCCACTGTTAAAGAAGTTAATTTTAATCTGGCTACCGCTAAATTAAATTAAAATGTAAATACAACTTGCGTGGATTTAAGGAGTGGAGTTGACACAGAGCTCGTGACTCCCAAACGGATATGACATCATTTAGTTGAAGCCGAATTTAGATGCACCACGTGTTCATCATCTAACGATGAGTCCAGCCAAAACAACGTAGATTCAACGTATTAGACATTATTAATAATAAAATAATAAACAAACTGGAACGTCGTTATCCAATTACATTTGACATCGTATTTAACAACATTATTAGGTTTGGATTGTTTGTACTATATATAATTCAATACAAATACCAATATATCATTAAAAAAAACTGTTTCAGGAATAACCCAAGAACGAATGTTTCAAGAATAACCCAAGAAGTACCTTGTAGAAGATGCTGGTGTAGTAGGGAGTTAATTATAATGGATTGATATGAAATACAAGGTATACAAAGACTAACAATAATACACAGAAGTACTTCTGAATTTGATGCATTGAAATCGCACCAATCTGTATGCCAGTAACTGACAGCACTGTTAGCTGGGGACTCCAAGTTAGCACTGATTCTATTTCAAATCAAATATGTATGTTCAGTTTAAAGTGATATGACTGTGAAATAAAGTAAACCTTTTAATTCTTAGGAAAGTTAAAATTTTATTGAGATACAGAGTAGCAGGCAGAGAGCGAGCATTTTCAGACTCACAACAGCCGCCCTGTGCCATACCACATGTGGCCAGGGGGAGCAGGAAACTGGGGGAGGGGGGATTGTAACCCCCAATATTTAATTTGGATTCAGTCACCTCCCCCCACCCAATAAAAATATCGATATCTCTCCTATGCCACTGGTCAAATGAACCATAGTTACACAGCTATGTTAAAAAAAAAAAAATCTAAATATTAGGGGCCTGTATCACATGGATTTAAGGTAGTCTGGGCTAAATGTAAGTGAACGAAGATAAAGTCCATTTAAACTGCAGTACCTTAAATCTGACAAGTTATCAGGCTAAGCAAGAAATCCTGCTCTGTGATTCAGGCCCCAGGACAGCTGCATATAACCTGAATGCTGAAGTATGCAATTTCATCTGAAAAAATGTTTTATCCATTCCTGAATTACAATAGTATCTAACACAATCCACATATGATATTTACAATGAAGAACTCATGCCTATGTATTTATTTTATTATCATTTCATAAGGATATTTCACCACTACAGATATATACCTGGCCCTCAGGTACATTCTAGACATATCCTGAGATATACTTCTATGTGACAACTGAAAATTCCATACATCCAAAACAAAGTGCAATTCTGCATTTATTTAGTGCACTGTTAATACAATAAATTGTCAGGCAGTATAATGGGCTGGGAAAGGAAGAGTCCATTTGAACATCCGCCTTAGGGTATTCATGTATCTTAATACCTCTCTGATTTATGCATTAAGGGCTGAGTGTCATCTGATAGGCAACCCTTCACAAACATGTTCAGGTTCACTTCAGGTGGATCTGTACCTTCAAGTACCTTAGCATCCAGACAACCACCTACCAACGCACAGCAACATCACAGCCTTGGCTTCCACTTACAAATCAATTTATAGACCAAACTGTTTTGTCCAAATTAGTGGAAGATACCAGATAAAATTCTACTATTTATGTAAAATATCACTGCTGAATTTGAATAATATACATAGCATCATACTTGCTCTGTTTAATCCGGTCGAGTTTAAAATTTCAGATTCCCTACACAGGAAATTGGACCCTGAATGTGATTCAAAAACTATTTTGGGAAAATATGATCTGTCAAACATAGAATAGTTAAACATTCTATGTGACAACACGTGATTTAAAAAAGTAAAGGTTTAATCATTAAAATGCATTAAGCACACTTAAGTTTGATGGTCAAAGTACTGAAAGAGAGAAACTGTGTCCGTGGATTTCCAAATGCATCACTTCTTGTTAGGCCATTTAAAGGTATGGATGTAACATCTACCTTTATCTCAATTAATCTTTCTTTGTCTTTGCATTGGGGTTTGGTTCAGAGCAATGAAACACAGATCTCCGTCCACCACACAGAGTCAGTGGTAAGCCTCACTTCTCTGCAGGGTGGCACTCAGCCTGCCCACCAAAGGCTCTGTCACACAGACAACGCATACTCACCGAAGCCAGGGGCAATAGGGGCAATAAGGGCAATAGGGGCAACCTGAGCACGTCTCACCGGCAGTATGAAAAGAAGTTACTTTTAAATTAGCCTGTCAATGAATAGGAACTGTAGTGGAGTCAGACAAAAATATACACTTAAGTTTTACCCACTTTCTTCGATTCTCATTATCCCCAAAGGTATTCTCCAAAGTCAATTAAAAAGCCGCAAATAAGAAACAGGGATACCTTCCTGTTCCTACACAGGTTTACATTTAAAGTGAGTGTGTTTGGAGGAAGAATACAGCGTCATGACAAAATTAACTATGTCTTAGGTGAGAATTATACAACAGTTCATTAAATCGTGTTGGCTACTGCTACAACGAATGAATGAAAATGCGGTGTTTAAACGGTGGAATAAGCAGCTTGAGAATCCATGAAGGAGGGAAACAGCTCAGCAGTTAAATTCTGATTCCTAATTCACATTTAACTGAGGGTTGCATGGCACTGTCATGTTGTGATGCACAGATGATGGCTAAATATTGTTTTACCCACCATTACAAAAATGGCAGCTGCTTTCCTGTGGCAGCAAGCCTGCCAGCACCGGATGACATGCCAGTCCTCGATACCCCGGGCGCTCTCTGCAAATGCAAGCTGAACCTTCAGTGCTACTTCACTCTTCCTGGTGGGCACACTCCATCTCCACAGTCTCTGGCTCAGCCAGCACCCCAGGCTCAGTTCCCGGAGCCCCTTCTGTACCTTCCCTCGGGGCCTGGGCATGTGCAGCCTCATCGCCCCCTGCCTCCACCTCCCCTTCCACCTCCCCTTCCACCTCCCCTTCCCCCTCCCTGGTGCGGAACAGCAGCTGGCCGCCCTGCAGGACCTGCTCAGCAGCCTGCCAGGCGCCTGCCCCCCCGTACTGCTGGTAGAAGTCGGAGTCGGCCTGGAACATGACGAGGGCCTGAGCGGTGTGGATGCGCACATGCTGTGCCAGCGAGCTGGCATCTGCGAATTTCTCCCCACAAGAGTCGCAGGCGTACAGAATCTGTGTGTTGGGGTCTGGAGGCAGCGGTAAGGACAAAACAGACACCGCAGGGTCAGAATTTTGGCAAAGCAACTTAGCATGCACAGCAAATCTGTTTCAGAGGTGACGGAACGTATACATCCATCCTATATTTCTTTATTTCCTTTTCTACTATTTGCATGCCCTGTTTGGGAATAGGAGATAAAGGATCGGAATGAGTATGTATGAATGCATCATCAAATTAATGTGTACATACTTGCATACGTTTCTATGAATGCAGGTGCTTTTGCAGGTACCCCTGAGTGAAAATGTGTGCATGCATGTTTGAGCATGTCCCTACCAGCCTCCTGTACTCGCTCTACAGCCTTGGTGATCTCTGCTTTCAGGGCCTCCGTCTCGTCGGCTGACACAGACGCTGCCACAGGCACCACTGAAACAAAACACCGTTAATAAATACCAAATATCTCAATATAGGCAGCAAAATTCTGTACATTCATTTACACAAGTTCATAGATACAAACTTTCTTCATTTTTCTCTCATCATCTTCTATCTCCATTACCAATGTTCTCTCTGTTAACCCAGGGTGTTACTCTATACCAGGGGCGCCCAACTCCAGTCCTGGGGGGGCAGAGCCCTGCACATTTTTGGGTTTCCCCTCATTTAACACACCTGATTCAGCTCCTTGTGCTAATCACCACACAGCTCTTAAGCTGAATCATTTATGGTGGAACAGGGAAAGAACTAAGATACATAGGGCTCCGGCCCCCCAGGACTGGAGTTGGGCTCCCCTGCTCTATACCAATAACACAAAGATTGTACTTGTCGTCTTGGCAAGACTGCTCTTGCTAACTTGTCTCCCAAGAAAGAATTTTAGGCACAGAATCATGGGATTGGTCTTATTTGGGGAACTGGTCTTCAGCAACGGAAAATGATGTAAAATGGGGACACGAGAACTCAAGTACAGTCAAGTATGCTTATTGAGAGTCACCCTTTGTTCTCATCCTCCAGCTGCTCCCATCTTACCCCCCCCCCCTCTTTTACAGAGCTTACTGACCTGTCAACTGAGCTACAGCACTGGCGGCAAGAGCCTCGGTGGCCAGAGTGACGATGTCGTCAGTGGTGACGGTGACTATGTTGACCTCGCTGTCGTCCAGCTCCGAGGCCGGTGTGGAGCTGACGTGCAGCTTTTCCGTCTCTCCGCCCCCGTCGCTCTCATCCCCAGCCACCACCAGCTGCTTCATGCCAGCCTTGCCCTGGTGCACCGTCTTGACGTGGGAACGCAGGTTGTCCACGCGATTGAAGCCCCGCCCACACTTGTCACACAGAAATGGCTTCTCACCTGGAAAGCGGCAGGGACAGAAAGGAGAAGTAGAGAGAACATGCAGAACATGCTGTAGTATAGGGCTGGACAATGTGCAATATTAATACCAACATCGCATGTTATGCATGTGCGATTCTTAATTCGCCAGTCAGCTAGATTAAGATCAGGCTTTTCTTACTTTCAATTCTGTATACAGACATTATAGCAAAGTTTCACTAAAACATTTTTGCTCTGTCATAGGGAAAAAAATTATCAAGTTTTGCCATTTTAATCATTATTCTTTTTCAAAATTATCTAGGATACTGTATGTTTAAAAATCAATTTAAAGTTTACCTCCACTGCTTTTGCATGAGTACTGCATGCGTACTCTGAGACAATCATAATCATTTTCATCCTTGCTGTTTAAATCACTCCTAGATGGGTTTTTGAGAAATTTATATTGAACTCCTTTTTTTGTTATATAAATACCACAATATTTATTACAACAAAACCACATTGATATATTTAGAAATTTTCAAATACTGTACTGCCGTAGTATATTATCCAAAATACTTTATTTCTTTTTATGCTATCCAGACTTCTCGTTCTTCTGACCAGATCACAGTTAAAGCCTGAGTCACTTCCTTTGTCCACGCTTCCATTATTATTTTTATTATTCATTTTTTTTCATTTATTGTACTTTTCTGAGTTCGTAACTGTTTTCAAGGCCGTGGTTTTATTGAGCTTCAGATGCAGGTCATTTGCATAACCATTCGGCAAAGAAAGCATTTCAGGTCCCACCCTAAAGTATCAAAGTACCAAAAAAGTACTCCACTGGCACTTTTGGTACTGGAACTTTTGGTACGGCTGGTTACCCTAACTGAATGGCCAGTTGAGCGTTTCCTTTCTGTTGTCAGAAGTTGATATGCCGGTCCTGGATCAATCATATGTTTGGCACAGTTTGCAGTTTAATGAGTACGTGAAATAAACATTTAAATCTAAGAAAAAAAATCATTACAGAGAATCATGATCTCAATTCTAAGCACATTTCTTTCAGAAACTGCATGCTTGAGTACAGGATATACAAATGAAAATTACCTGTGTGGATAATGATGTGTTTCGACAGGTCTCCAACGTTGACGAAGGCTTTGTTGCAGACCTGACATTTATGAGGTCGGATGTTGTCATGGTGCCTTATGTGATTAGCCAGTTGACTAGACTGGACAAACCTAAACAACAAGAAGAGAAGATAGACTGACACACTGGACCCCAGAAGGCTTTAAAGGTGTTTTCTAGGGACTTCCACTGACCTTTTTCCACATCGATCGCAGACATACGGCTTCTCTCCAGTATGCTGTCGGACGTGGGCGATTAGGGAGCTAGCCTGGGTGAAGCCTTTACCACAAATGAGACACTGACAAGGCTTTTCTCCTAGAAATCACACAGAGACACATTAGGCACCCAGAGAATCGACCGTGAATGCAAAATATACAGCCACATCACTGTATACTACAATCGTCAGTAAAAATAAGGAACTTAAAAGTTTAGTCAATTTTATTATGTTGAGACATGCATTTTATTTCAACGAAAAATGCTTGTTGACTAGTATGCCAAGTGCAAATTATTTGGTAGATAAAACTTTGTATTTTTAAGGACCCAGCACTGAAAGCACAATGCATTCACAAAAGAAAAAAAATTTATCATGTAATTATGAGATCTTTTCTCATATGAGATCTTTTCTTCAACTCATCTTATGAGAATAAAGTTAAAATTATAAGGTGTCTAAAGAAAAATAATGGAGATCTTGATCTCGTAATTACGAAATATTTTTTTATGATCCGTGGCTCCGCCCACCGCCCCACTCTGTGATCCGTGGCTCTGCCCACCGCCCCACTCTAACATATTAGCATGTAGTGAACTTGAAAATGAAAAGTAAGAAATGAAAAGTCAAACTGGAAAAAGAAAAGACAAAAAGGGTTTTTAATTTTATTTTTAAATTTTTCACATCTGACTCATAAATGAGTGCAAAATTAAAATGCAAATGGTGCTATTTCATTTAAATTTTTGCAGGATTTTTGAGCACAGACTTTGGAAACTAAATGGCAAATTGGAGATTGTATTTTCTTTTTATCATTTTCCATTTTCATTTTATTTTTTGCAGAAAAAACCTCCCATACCGAACGGCCGTTCGTAACTTGAAAATGTTCGTAAGTCGTTATTCAACATCATTTTAAGGGTATACACAAGTACAAAGAGCTAGGATGCTGGGAGTACGCACGCTACGCTGCTGCATGGTGGGAGTAGCGGCTAGAGTCGTACTAGGCGGAATTGGCGTGCAGAAAAAAAACTGATGTTGCGGTCAGGAAGTGGGAGCCCAACGAACACAATTTGGACTAAAAGTCTGTCTGTATGTCTGAAAGTTCGTAAGTTGAAAGTTCGTAAGTAGAGGAGCGTCTGTATTTTAAAATGACTAAACATTCCAGATGTTGCAGTTACATTTCCATATTACTGTATCCTACACCCCCTACATGAAAATGAGTGGTGACACAACACGGGAATAATCTGTGTTGGCAAATAGCCATAAGCAACTGTGCTGATGATATGAGCGTCTCTGCTGGGCAGTGGGCAGGCTCAGGCTCTACATGCAGTGCCGGGCTCACCAGTGTGGATGCGGACATGCCTCTGCAGAGCCCCAGGGTCGGCAAAGGCCCTCTGACAGTGCATGCAGGTGTAGGGTTTTTCGCCGCTGTGCACTCGCAAGTGTCTCTTCAGGTTGCCTGCACAGACCACACAGTGACATAACCAGCGGCATCATCCACACCCCCCCTTTGGGAACGACTCATACCCGAGGTGGTGAACTGCTTCCCGCATTCTTTACACTTCAGGGGCCCGTCTGTGATGTGGATCTTTTGGTGAGCCTTCAGGTTCCCCAACTGCAGGAACACAGAGTAAAACAGGGTTTTACAGCATCCCTGCCAGTGCCAGAAGAGAGGAGTGGAAGAAAAACCATTTCTGGACAGGAGATGGTTGAATCAGGTATCCTTCATTAACAAACACACCAGTGAGCCCTCTATAAGTGGACTCAAACATCGTTTTTCCACTGCACAAATTATAGTACTTTTGGTATTTTCGCTTTTCCACTGACTTCCAGTGAAGTTCCAGTACCAAAAGTTCCAAACCAGCTGGGGAACTTCGTTGGTACTTCAGTACTTTGGGGTGAGACTTGAAACGCTTTCTTTGTCTATTAGTTATGCAAATAGCCTGCCTCGCAATACAACCGCAATCTTAAAAAAAAGCTGCGAACTCGGAAAACAACGATAAACTAAGTAAAAAAAAATATATTATTGCGATCTGGTCAAAAGAACAGATAAAAATGTTTCAGTTAAACTTAAACTGCCTGCGCTATAATGTCCACACAGAATTTAAAGTAAAAAAAAAAACACCTAGCTGACTAGCAATGCAAGAATTGCATGTGCCTAACATGCAATGTTGGTATTAATATTGTACATGGTCCAGCCCTGTAATATAATATAAAATACCATTTTTCGATTTCAGTACAAAATAACACGCCTCGCCTTTGTGATGTTATTCGGCGCCAGAACTAGTTCTTACACCAGTGGAAAACCAACGCCTTGAAGTACCATACTTTTGGTGCTTTCTTGAAGTACCAAAAGTACAGTACCTGGTCCAAGTGGGGACAGTAAATACAGCAGATCAGGTGTTGGGAGGTGTGTCATTTGGTCAGCTGTCTATTCATGCCATTTGGACCCTACGGGCTAGGTGGGCCGGTCACATATCAAAGGGAAGGAATACACTGGCCCAAACTGAGGAAACACCTCGCATTTTTGGCATCATCACGCTTTAAAAATCACTACCCGAATATTGGCAGTAATGTTTACAATCAAAGAATGTTTCAAATATCATACACTGGATGATTAAATAAGTAACTGGAGCAACAGTTGAATAAAGTTCTGCAATTTGTAAAAATTGGATGTGTTTCCGCAATTCTCGATACTATTGCTCAAGGTCAGTGGGAGATGAGAGGCAGTTCTCGTGGTTGGAAGAGCCTAAAAAACATACGTCCTGTTCAGCTTCCACAGAGGCAGGAGTCAGGCGTGCGGTGGCCTCACCTGGTTGAAGCGCTTGTCGCAGTGGGGACACCGGTGGCCCTTGTCAGTGTCATGAGTCTCCAGGTGGCGCATCTTGGCGGTGGGGTCGGAGAAGGCCCGCTCGCAGTAGTCACAATGGTAGGGCTTCTCTCCACTGTGCACCAGCTGATGCCGCTTCAGGTTACCCGAGGTGGTGAAGAGCTTGCCGCAGTCCTCGCAGCTGTAGCGCGCCTCGCCCGTGTGCCGTTTGCGATGCAGGTTCAGCAGGCTGATCTGCCGGTAGCTCTTACCGCATGCTGTGCAGCTGTACGGCTTCACAGGACTGAGCCAATCCAGCCATAACCATTCGATAAAGGGGACATTCCATATCCAGTCTCAATTTGTACAAAACACAAACAAAAAAACCAAGTGGCACGTGCAAGCAGTAACGCACTAACCTGTGCGTCTTCTCATGAGCCTTGCAGGCTGCCGGATCAGAGAAGGCTTTCTGACAGTCCCGACAGCTGAACGGTTTCTCGCCTGTATGGATGCGGATGTGCCTCTTAAAGTTCCCAGTGTGTGTAAACTTCTTCCCACAGTCCTACAAAAATTATCAACAAGCTTAATAAAAAAACAACACACACATGAGCCAGGACACACTTTCACACATATTCTAAAACAAAATCAGCGGTTAGTGAATTAAATCATCCGAATGAGTTATGCAAACCAAAATGCACACTGACAAACCTTTATTTCAAGCAACAAACGCATACTGTATATTTCTGGGCAGATGTGAATACCAACGATCACAGGAAAAAACCGGCAAAGACGAACAGACTGTTACAGACCAAAATGCATGCACAGGAACTCACAGGTAAACACACAATCTCCACACAAATGGCCGGGGCTCCTCACCTCGCACTTGTGGGTGATAGAGCCATAGACTCGAGACTCACTGCGGTCTGTAAAGGGCCCCGACCGCAGCGCCTTCCCTTCGCTTCCGGCCTCTTCCCCCGTAGTATCCCCCTCTTCCATCTCCCCCCCCTCGTCGCCCTCGTCCTGCTCCACTTCCACATCCTCCTCCTGCTCTCTCGTCACTTTGATCCCCTCACCCGAGTCAGAATCTGCAGTGGAAATGCAGAAGAGAAACATATGTGAATAAGAAGCTAAAAAAGAGAAATATTCAAAACGATGTCTTACTGCATGTGTGTGCAGTGTTGGGCAGTAACTAGTTATATGTAAATGCGTAACGTAACCAAATTGCAAAATAACCATAATTTGTTACAGTTGCTGTAAAAACATAAGTAATTAAATCACAATTACTAACCCAAAATGTTGCTGATTACAAAGGGGTTACATCCAAATATATCATTTTTGGTAAAAACCTCATATGTAAAATATAACATTATTTTTGCGGCTGTGCATCTTTTAATCGTGCAGAAATGCCCTCTTATGGCATATTTCCAGACAATGCAGGTCCGCCTTAAGTCTTTGGGACATTTCTGCTTTATTGCCTAATGTAGCCATTTGTTAGAAAAGTAATCAAATAGTAATCACATGTAATTGATTAAATTACTTTGATGAAGTAATCAAAATAATTACATTACTTATTATGTTTAAACAGGGTAACTAGTAATCTGGAACCTATTACATTTTAAAAGTAACCTTCCCAACACTGTGTTTGTGTACAAATATATCATCCGTGTCATAAAACGCAGGTATAAGCAGAAATAGCGATGTACCGGCATAGATTAACAAACACTAAAATGCATCGGAGGACTTCCCTGCGCTGTCAAAAGAATTCTTACAGAAATGATCAAGGTCAGGACTCTATATTGATCGAATATTAATCTGAATAAACCAAAATCAAATTATGTTGGTGACATTTGTTGAAATCATTTGCTTGAAGGTGTTGTAATGAAGAGCAAATGAAATTTAATATTAATAATAATAATAGACAGAAATACATTGGTCAAGAATCAAGAGAGAAAACTGCATTTTCAATTTTGAGTTAAAAAAAAAAAAGTGGTTCATATTTTACCCAGAATTGTGCAGCCCTAGTGAGTACCTACTAACAGTGAGTACCTACTGTACTAACACTGAACCGAGGAGGGAAAATCACAACAGACTGCCGACAGGATATCAGGCAGCCAACACTTGTCAAGGAGAGCGAGACGTGAAAAAGGCTCTCGTGTGCTACCCAAAGTTAGCTTATCATCTAATATATCGCAAACCTTAACATATGTCATTTTTATGAGACAGTCAACTTTATTTGCTTCATATGGGAGTGGTCATAATGTTCTGCCTCATTGGAATTACATATATAGTGATTCTGCAAAAAGTGTTAATGTAAATTTAAATATAATTTGAACGGTGCTATTTAAACTCAAACAAACAGCAGGGAGGTGGCGTGGTGTTTACCCTGCGAGTGGGAGTGCTGGGCAGACCTCTTGGCCCGACTTCGGCGAGTACTGATGCACGATCTCTCTGTCACAGACCTGAATGGGATTTCTGTGAAAACGACACGGATACATATGCAGACGCTGTCCCAAGCAGATACACATGCGCTTAGACACGGAGGAAAAATGAGAAACTGACTGGGTGCGTAATCAGCGTCGGTGGGGTCATCCTGAAACTCTGGGACTTCTTTGGCTGCCTCTGCCTCCTTCTCTTCGGCTTCCACCAGCCTGCGAGATGAGGTGCGGGTTCCTCTCCGCTGGGGGGGCTGGCTAGGCTGTGGTGGTGACGAGGCTTCAGCGGGAGGGCCCTGGGGCTTGGCGGACTCGTCCTCTGGGGACCCATGGTCCTCGGGCGGGGTGTGTGTTGCAGGGCTGCTCTCGTTTGCGGAGGCCTTTAAGTCCTCCGTGCGGCTCCCCTGCACCTCCTGCCCGGATCCATCACGTTGAGTACTGGCCACCTCCCCCTGCATCGCTGTCTCCGGAGGGTCCAGCTCCTCAACTCTGTCTGCTTCTAGGAAAGGAGATTATATGACAGAGCCAACAACTGTGTTTTTTTGGCCAGTGTTTTCCTACCTGGTCCTCAGGGACCGCAGACAGTCCACATTTTTGCTCCCTCCCAGCTCCGTGTCAGACAGTCCACATTTTTGCTCCCGCCCAGCTCCGTGTCAGACAGTCCACATTTTTGCTCCCTCCCAGCTCCGTGTCAGACAGTCCACATTTTTGCTCCCTCCCAGCTCCGTGTCAGACAGTCCACATTT